TTGACACTGCAGATTTGCTTTTTGTAACAACGAATTACACCCCGCAGGTTTTTTTGTGATTTTGTGAGCGATCTTTGTGTTTGCAGTGTTGGATAATATAATTAAAGGTTTGTATCGAGAATCGACGGTGATTTTTATTGTATACTGGCAAATCTCCGCTTTTAGTTGGTGCACATATGCCTTTTGTTGTTAGCCGACATGTATGTGCATTTTTATACTGTAGCATGCCGATCGCGTCATCAAACAAATCACGGCAGTGCCAAAAACCCGTGCATGTACATTCTAATTTATTAACACACATAAATACATTTCAAGCATATCTTAATACAGTATATTGCCGCCATATTGGTTTTCGGTTATCTCGATCATCGGTTATCTCGACGCTTTTTGGCAACCCCCTAGGCCGGCGACATAACCGGGTTCGACTGTATATTAGTTAGGCCAACGTACACTAAAAAGTAAACGCACGGATAGCTACATTGGGATTCTTGCTTTAAGAATTTTTTAAACAAATTTTAGTACAGTATAATTTAAAATTTTAGATATTCATTGGCGGGCCAATCTAAATAGTACGGCGGGCCAACCTTGGCCCGCGGGCCCCACTTTGGGCACCCCTGGGTTAAGGGCTTTGCTCAAGGGCCCTATGGTAATATCAGCCTGCCAACCCCAGGGTTTGAACTGGCCACCTTCCGATCACAGGCACAGTGGTCTAATCCACTGAGTTGCACACCACCATATACTGTGAGTACTACAGTTATTGTGGCTTACACTGTGGTAACATTGTGTGGTGGTATTGTGTTGTGGCAAAGCAATGGTTTGTCATATAATTTTGGTTTTTCAGGAACATATCATATATTCACAATTGTAATTCAAGATGGAACAACATGAGATGAGTAATCATAATACCAATATGTAACAGAACAATTGTCTTCTCTAAAAATATGAATCCTTTAATTATTAACATTGCAACTCAAACAGAAATTGCAAATGGGATTTATGACAACAAACCATATTATTAGCCTACATCAATTAGTATCTTAGTTTCTTAAAATGTTTGCAACAGTACTATCAAAGAGATTTGATAAACATCTTTAGACAATGATGGACATAAAGCATGAGAAATGCATGAAGTAGGGTGACAAATGATTTCACTAAAATATTTAACATGTAAACTGCGCTCTCAAATCAGGGCAAACATGTATCCTGATGTACTGAAAGTATTTTTATGGAAACAAAGGGTAATTTTCCTGTTTTGATTAAATTTCCTAGCAAAGAACAAAATAGACTGACGTTTTTTCTTCATTGGAATTTCCCTTTATGTAGGCACAGCTGATTAAATATACTTGTAGCAAGTCAGTGTCAGATTGTGACAGGCAAATAAGTGCTAGTTTTCTAGTTTTCTCTCTGTCAGGATATAGGTATTTGTACCCACCAGTGCCCACAGAAGCTCTGCCAGTTCGGCTCAGCCCGATGTTGTCCAGGATTGTGAAAGAGCGGCGATAGGGAGTATCTGACTGCGACACAGAGGAGAAGAAAAGCTTCATGAACATGTCAGATGTTTCAATGTGGGATCACAATTATCTGAGGAAGAATAAGGAAAGAGCTGCTCTGTAACAAAAATTGTAGAAATGTACATTTATGTAAAAATATTTCATATCAAATCAATTAAATCTTGATCAATGACATATACGAGCGTATAAAGAAGTTATGCTAACAAGTCCTAGAATGTTGGTGAAGTTTTTCATTTTTGTTCCATTTACCCCTGATCACTAATTTATCAGATTGACGAATGCAGGTGACCTGACTATTCAGGTGCTTGGTTCTTTGAGACACCATGGAAATCTGCAATAAAGTGAATGCTTGTGGTTCTAAACACGCATAAATGATTTATGTCTTCGACGTGGGCTTTTCCGATATTAGGTTCTTACCCTGTAGGTATGAGTGGTATTCGGACGAGAGAAGATGTCCAGCAGGTGCAGTCTGTCCCGGGGAATGGAGGCCCCCGCCTCGTCCGTGACGGCACTATGAGTCCGGCTGTTGGCGTGTGCCCTCTGCCGCTGCCCATTCACACAACACAACGATGTAGAAGTGAGATATGCGTGTGGCATGGGTGGCACTGGGAGACTTATACAAGTACTGTATAATTTAGGGAGGTGGGTACCAGGCATGGTCGAAGATGCTGGTTGGTGAAGGTCTCCATGTCTCCGACACCGATGGGGGGAAGAAGGCTGTTCCGGCTAAGTGGCATCAGTGGGGAAACTTGTCTGTCACTGACAGTTGCCCTGGAAGACCGACAAAAAAAAAAACAAAAAAACGCAAACCTATGAGGACGTAATGGCTGCCTGAGAAAGCAGTATCTTACTATCTGGCTAACATTTAAGCCTATACAGTCTAACTGGTAAACATTCGAAGTACCTGAGTAGCATGTCTAAATGGATTACCTAGTGTGTCTCAGAAGTAATATCTTCACAAAGTGAATTTCATTTTATCCATCAGTATTCCCAGATTGAAACAACGCCTGTGAGGCGGAACAATTTTCACATAGGCGTCTTTCTGAAAGCTGCGTGCCAAACAGCAGGAGAGGCAGAGAGGAGGCCGTGAATGGAATGACTCACAGCCTCGTTCCCCTGATGCCTTCGTCCATGGGTCCTGCTGTGCTGGGCTGCACGGGACCGGGGACTAGGGGCAGGAGGGTCCGCGGGGGCGGGTTTCGGCGCCTTGCCGACTGCGCGGGTCTCAGCAGCGAGGAGGAGCTTTGCTCTAGGGCCCGGCGTGAGCGCGGCTTGCTGGACGTAATGACGCTGGAGCTCGGGCGATGGGACACCCTCTCTTCAGCGTCGCTTTCAGAGCAGCAAAAAAAACCCAGCACTGAGATATCGGCTTGTTGTAATGTGAAAAATGACAATAACAAGACCCCAACTCCATTTTCTCCATTTTTAACCACCTCTTTCCTTCTCACTCCAATAAAAATTTTAAAAAGCATATTAATGGAACTAATAACCATTGATTAAATAATGATGAATCGTTTGCTTTACTGTGTTTTGTCAGCTAAGACACCAAGGTTCCTCTGTTGAAGGGGGATTCCGTGGATGACAATGAGGTCATTGAGGTTCTGATGGGTCACTGCTGCTCCCACTGGGACTCTGTTGGACTGTGGCGACAGAGAGAGAAAGAGGAAGTATCAGCTGTCTGTGTGTAACTGTCTTGTCAATATCTATATTCGGTCCAACCTTCTATAAGATAAAAGTGGTCTCACATTACATCAGCTATAATAGAGGATGTGGTGCCATCCAGTGATAGCTTGAAATTAACCCTAATACCAGGTGCAAAGCCTAAAAACTGCAGTTTTGGAGGAAGAAAAAAAAAAACAGCTTTTATGGTGACTAAAATCACAAATTCTGAATGCTACAGCATTTAGTTCCTGTAATAAACCAAGAGAATGGTTAGGAAAACTATGAAGGGTAAACTGTGTTATTGGTGAGGTATACTCAAGTATACTCAGTGTCTGACCACACAGGGCCTGCTAAGCACCCCGCATCAGCTGCTCTCCATCAGGGAGTTACATACAGTGGAGGGTTTTCTCTGCTTTTTGGATTTCCGCCTGGACTTGTGCTTTGAGCCCCTTGACTTTGTGTTCTTTGGAAACAAGACAACGAACAAGGGAACGGAGAAGAAAAAAAATATAAGGAAAAGCGACATGATAGGTGTGGAAGAGGGCAGGGGAAAACAGAAAGGACAAAAGAAGGAAAAGGGGAAAAAGTTCAATCAAAAGGCAGAAAATAAAAATGAACAGAAAACAGTGAAAGCAGTAAGAAGAATATTACTAATCATCATGTAGTTACAGTATAGTAGTATAGTCATATAAACTATACTAAATACACGGAAAGTTTCATGGTCTTACTAAGTAGATTTGTCCGTTTTTGGATTAATCTAATCTCTTAGCTGCTTTATTGAAGTGATTATTTGAATAATAGGTCACCTCTCCTGGTACTTCAGGTGTAAATCAGTGAATAACACCCCCCCCCCAAAAAAAAAGTACCAGTGTATTACACATCAAACTTGTACCTTCTAGATGTGCCAAACTGTCTGCAAGGACAATGTTTCTTTTATGTTATTTATTTGACAGAATACTGAGCAGTGTAATACTTGGAATTCAGCACAGGCGCAGGGACACTGACTTGTAGCTGCAGGCTGGCAGTAAGCTGAGGCAGCCGGCTCTGGCTCAGCCTGGGCAGCACTGTGGGCAGGGGGCTGTAAGGGTCTCGGGGGTCTGGCTGCACTGGGCTCAGGCTGACAGTGTTCTTTTCCTCATCTGAACCAGGGGAACCACACGTTATGAAAGGACAGCCAAGACTCTGGATAAGCACATTTAAAGAGTATGCAGCACTACGCATTAATAAGTACAGAAAAAAATATATTGTGATACATTATATATTGTGTGTTATGTAGCTAAATGGCTCGTGTTTTTGTCCTAAGTGCTTTAACGTAAGTTCATTATTGACTATTTGACTACTGATTTGTCCTTGACTCTTTTGCATGACAACCCAAAGTAAAACCCTTCAGTGTAATAGTAGATGGTGACAAATAAACAATTTTGACTGTAGCAAACTTTGCTACTTTTGAGATTCAACTCATTGTGCTACGGTTACAGATCTGTGATCTAAAGGCCACCAATCCGTGCCTCACCACCTCACTACCTCACTACCAGAGAGGGCAGGAAAGCGTACCAGAGATGCAGCCCTCCCAGTGCCTGCGTATTAGCTCGCCCGTCCAGCCCACCAGCTCCCGCCAGACGTCGTCGAACAGCAGGTCCAGGATCGCCTGCCGCCGACACCGGTACGGCGAGACGGGAGGGAACCCGCACCTGTGCCGGCCACTCCCCATGCAGTCGCGCTCCCAGTCCTCGTCCCTGTAATCACACAACCATCTCATGCTGCATTGCATAGCTCAGAAAGGGACAGAACCTAAGATATGAAAACACAGGGCTCAGTCACTTTGTTTCACTATTCAGTATATAATCAGTTACTTTAACAACAAAAAAGAGAATTAGGACCATTTTAAAATTCTAAATTGTTACTATTGCTTACTATTAGCCTAAATGTGGCTGTCAGACTATAATGCGACCACATCTAGCATCACTTGCACAAAGGTTCACAGAATGACATCCCAGTTTTTGTTGCAATATATCTGAATCTGTAAACTTCTATGTCTAGAGAAAATGATACGTTGACAATCTTCTTTCAGGAAAGAATCCAGTCCAAACTGGTTTGTTCTGATGCATTGAGGGCTTTTAAGGGACTTTAGTTTGTTGGGTAGAATGTACCACTCGTGCACTTCAATTTTTATGCACCGTGCAGTACAAAAAGCAGACCCAGTAGAGTATGATATTTTTATGAGCGTAGCATCCCACTGAGAATTCAGACCCCATCAAATAAAGACTGATAGAAGAAATAATGGACAATATGGAAGTTTGAAGCCAGCACTATGACTTTGCCTGGGCTACACAAGGACATTCGCTTCTTAATATACTCTAAAATGGGCATGCCGTAAACCTAATAGTGTAAGGAAAGGAATGGATGTCCAACAAAGTGCTTACAAACATGAGTACTCACAAGTCCCGGGAGTCAAATGCCAAGTATTCCTCCATGAGTCCCTCAGCCTCAATAATCCGGGGTCGGTCGTCACTGGTAGAGGTATGTTCTGCTTCCACACCTAACTTGGACAGCATTGCTTTTCGACCATGGACACTCAGCCTGGTTGTAAAGACACCCAATGTCATTCACAAACACATTGCATATTTATGGCCTTTGCATGCAGTAACATTAATTTTGGCTTATTATTTGAAGAACATGTACATCAAGACTGGTGAGTACCTCAGGTCATTGGATACAATACTTACTCAGTAGTATTGTCATCTACGGTACTCGTTGCATCCCTGGCAGCCCCCATCTCAGTGATGGAAAACCACTGGTAGCCATCATCAGTTGGACAAACTAGCTGAGTTCCCAGTATCCTGAGAGCCCAATCATCAAGTAATGGGCTATTTTAATACATCATAGGTCAAAGATCGCCAAACACTCAATCACCTAGCAATTGTTGGCAAATCCCAACAACAATGAACTGTATTAGTTTCCTAAGAAGGTCTAGAATATGTGCATCTATTGATGTACATATCATGTTTCCGGGTGATTATTTGACTGCATTTTGCAGATATTATATGCTATATGATACATTAATTTTACTAATTAATCGATTGATTCATATGACAGAATAGAATACTCATTAATAATGAAGAAGTATAAGCTCTAAAATGATATGTTACTCCAGCTATGATTGGCAGCCCCTGGGCTTATGAAAAGGGTATATCGCTTTAAGACTAAGCCCTCATGCAGAATGAGCAGCAGTGGCATGGTGATAAATTACCGAAGGTGAGGGAATCTGGTTGCCCACTGCTGGCATTCCTCCCGCAGCCCCCCAAGCTGCCCATCGCTCCGGCACTCATAGAGCTGCTCGTCAATCTCCTCGAACATCCGCTGCACCTGCCGTGAAGCCGCCTTGTCGAACTCCTGTGCCGTGAAACAAAGCGATGTATGCGGTGAGGCCAGCCCAGTCCCTCGGCCCCCGTCCCGGAGGAGAACTGAAACAGCGAATCTTTGATTTTCCTACTGCTCATCCGCTATTAGCTGAACTCTGCTCTTTGAACTGTTTTCATAAATGTGTGTGGGTAGTTAAAGGAAGTTCCTGAATGATCCCTGTACTTTTAAAAGAAATACAGCCAACAGTCCAGTTACAGATAATTTTGTTCAACAATTCAGTCGGGAAATGTGTCATTATAGTGTTATTGTCATTATATTGTTGTTCACACTTCTCTCCTGAAACAACACGAGTATATATATAGCTAGACATTAGAGACACTGTTAAGGAATTATCACAGATGGCCGAATGAGCAGAAATTTGAACTAAATAATACATCCATTTACTAAACGCTGACATAATCCTTTTTAATCATTTTACATCCATAAAGTAATTCGATCATTTTGTTGATATTTCTAATGTACCTATAGCTGTTTTCCTATCCATATTCTCAGTTACAAATCATTTTATTAGTGTTATCAGTGCTAAAAACTATAATAATTCTTCTGGTAAGTCCTTTATCTTTCCAGGAATATCTAGCCAATTTTCAGTTATTTATGGAAGTATGACATCATCCCAATCATAAACCAGACTTACATGGATTAGTTTCATGATAGAATATTCATTGGCTCCCTCAATTTTTATCACTACCCCCCCCCCCCAAAAAAAAAAAATACAAGAAATATGTGTCCAAGAGGATGACCTTCAAGGTTTAAAATTTCAGATGATATTTCTATCTTGTTTTGGCTAAACCTCAGGCAAGCATTTATGTCCTAAGTGAGCTGTGGTTTCTTGCTACAGTGGTTGCTGCTGCCAAATATCACATTTTTCCCAATGCACAGCTTTGCAGATTCCTGCATGTAGATTTAGAATTCTTTGTAACGTCCTAAATGCTTTTACATCTTGTTGTTAGAGAGTCACAAGATCACATTCTTACATTTTCTGTTCATTTGGACAAAGTACTGGGACACACCTCTCAATCACTGAATTCAGGTGTTTCATTCAGACCCATTGCCACAGGTGTATAAAATCAAGCACATAGTCTTGCAGTCAGGTTTACAAACATTTGTGAAAGAATAGGTTATTCTGAAGAGCTTACTGAATTCAAGAGTGGTACTGTCATAGGATGCCACTTTTGCAATAAATCAGTTTGCGAAATTGCAATTCCATGGTCAACTGTAAGTGGTTATTGCAAAGTGGAAGGCGGTTTAGGAACATCAGAGACTCAGCGACGGAGTGGCAGACCATGCAAAGTAACAGAGCGGGGTCGCTGAGTGCTGAGGCGTATAATGTGTAAAAGTTGCCAACGCTCTGTTGACTCAATACTGTAACTGCAAGAGTTCCAAACTTCCTCTGGCATTAATCCCAGCACAAAAACTGTGTGCTGGGAGCTTCATGGAATGGGCTTCCATGGCAAGTAGCTGCAAGCAAGTCTCACATCACCAAGCACAATGGCCAGTGTCGGATGGAGTGACTGCATTGTGCCAAGTGTAAAGTTTAGTGTAGGAGGGATAATGGTATGGGGTTGCTTTCAGGGGTTGGGCTAGTCCCCTTAGTTCTAGTGAAGGGAACTGATAATGCTTCAGCATACCAAGACATTTTGGACAATTCTATGCTTCCAACTTTGTGGGAACAGTTTGGGGAAGGTCCTTTTCAGTTCCAGCATGACTGTGCCCCCATGCAACAAGCAAGGGCCATAAAGTCATGGTTAGGTGAGTTTGATGTGGAAGAACTTGACTGGCCCACACAGAGCCTTGACCTCAACCACAACAAACACCTTTGGGATGATCTAGAAAGGAGATTGTGAGCCAGGCCTTCACTTGCAACATCAATGCCTGACCTCACAAATGCAGTTCTGGATGAATGGGCAAAGATCCCTACAGACACACTCCATAAACTTGTGGAAAGATTTCCCAGAAGAGTGGCAGCTGTTATGGATGCAAAGGGGGGACCAACTCCATATTGATGCCTATGGATTTAAGAATAAGAAGTTTCTGTAGGTGAAATGGCCAGGTGTCCCAGTACTTTTGTCCATACGGTGCATCATACCCAACTGATGCATAAATACTAGATGCAAAATGCTTCTTAGCTAGAGGCATGTGTATGTGAAATGTGTCAGAGTGATGCATGGGGAGGTTACTCCAAGCTATTTATCTTCCATACATTTTTAATAACAATTTACCTAATTAGGTTTGTGGTGGCTAGAAGCATGAGCGAGCTCCCTCTCGAGAGAATGTCTCTTGCATGCCACTAATACAAAGGCATTTTTCTCACACAGTAAACCTCGTGTCTCCAGATTTTTATAGGTCAAAAAAACTAGATCAAGCTATCAGTGACGGATAATGTTTTATCTGGGTTTCAAAAATGCCACCAGCCTTAGTTAATTGATTGGTCAATCAACCAATCAGTCAATTGTCATCCAACAATTCCAGAAAGGAAACTCACATCATAACCCCAGGAAAATACCGAGCTTCTCTCTGTGGAGATGCCAGTACCAGAGTAGCTATGGATGCCAGACCATGACCTTTCAGTCTCACTGGTGGTGACTGACGACCTCCCAGATTCTCCAGAGGCCTCGGAGCTAAAATAACGGAGAAAGAAGTGATGGAAAGGTAGTACCTAACACATGGCAAATCGGAAGAATCTAAAAATAAGTCCAATTCAGCTACAAACCAGAAAAGTACAGGGTCTTTCTCTTTATAAAATCAATTGCGCCTAAGAAGATGTCTAGTGAACCATCAATCAATAAGAATAACTATTACCTGTTGCAAGTAGAGAATGCCTCCTGCCGGCCATGTAAGGGATACTTTGGCAAGTAGCCATCAGCTTCCTCGGGGAGTGGGTGGTGATCTAGATTGCTCCGGGATAACCCACGTCTGTGGAAAATTTTGAAAATGATATATTTTATGAATTTATTTTGATGCTACAATCATCAACTCAATTTAACGGAAACTTTTTTGTGCTGAGACTACGTAATAAGCATAGTGTTTACATCTAAGGGAAAGTAATACAAAATCTCTATATAGCTATTTGCTCCGTGTCTTCCACCAGATTATTTACAGATGAAGAATGTCCTCACATACGATTAGCTATACAGTATCACTAGTGATTGACCTAGCTTTTCTTACGGAATTCGGGCTACGACCATTATTTTAGCTCGCTAACTACACATCGACACATTTAGCTCAGAAATCATGACCGCTTACATGTAATTAATATGTAATACTCACATTTCGAGGCTGTGCGATACTGGCCGTCTCGTGTAACGTGAAATCATTCTACTACCCTCAGCTTTTAACGAACCACTTCTACAGTCATTCCTTCCTCCCCCAGCGTCTCTTCTGATCCCCCAGCCCAGCTGTGTGTCTGTTGACCGGGGTCAACCATTGTTTTCACCCGTCCCTCACCTCTCCACTTTGCAGACTAGCTATAAGCAATACAAGTAATATAGTATCTATACCTTTGTTCGTAAATAGCTTGGCGAAATTGTCAAATATAAGCTATTCAGTTAGCTGTTGCAAATATAATGACTTTATGAAAAAATATGAGCTCAACTATATTAAAATGTTAATATAAAAATTACATATTGAAATTCTGTACAGTACAAAATTTTGCATAACTACCTATCTAATCACTTAAATCGTTCGCATGCATTTATTTCAATAAGAGTCACAACAACAACATCCAGGCTGTCATGGATACTCGACTTCCTTCCCGTCCCAGTTTGTGGGAAATGTAGTTCTACACCTAAACTGTACCCCAGTGCACCCAGCGCGATATTAGCGTCAAATATTGGTTTCCAAGGAAATAAACTTAAGGTAAATTCGAATGTTATTTCAGCAGCTCCAAGATATTTAAAAAATCTTTACTTATCGGGATTATTAGAGCAAATTGTTGTGAATACAATTAAGTGTGTAGAGTAAATTTTATAATAAGACGTCACTGTAGCGGAGGAACGTATGTTACGGAAGTTTGTTTCCGGTCGGGACGGTTTGATAGTCGCAGAACACAGCAGGCTGAGTATGAAGTGAGTGGTCTGTGATACGTCAGGCTCTGTACAACATTACAAAAATTTGGAATATTCGCTTTGTAATACAGAAACTCATAATCCATGTTTTGAAAACAGGTAACTGTCTAAATTCCGTTATTTGGTTGTATAGATCAGTTTCTGGATATGAAGTATTACCACTCAGCCTAGGTTCTTCAAGGGTTGACACATTTTAAATAAATTGTAGGTTTTCAATTAAAATATAAACGTAATTTAAATTAATGCATACTGAATTTTATCAAGTAATTTTTATGGTTTAGTAAGATTTGTTTTTGAAAACTTAAAATTCTATATCGATGCTGGAAATTGAAGCTATAATTACTACATCATGTTCATTAACTTTCAGGAAAGAAGGCTCATAACTATCACTATGGACGTCCTCAGACGGCCTGCCGTGTTGGATGATGCGGTTCAGTACCAGTTATTTTTAGTTACACCTGATTCCTCTAAGCCCCATACCCGCGACACAGAGTATCTGCAGCAATTGGTACAGAAGATCCTCGCAGAGTTTGCCCCTCTCCTAGTTCAATACATTTGGCAACATGAACCCTTCAATATCAACTACTATCCAGAAAAAGGTGAGCCAGTTTTCTCATTTTTGCTAATTGATTTTGGTAACTTAGTGGACAATAGTTTAAACTATGCTGTGTTCAGGGTCCCCTGACAAGACGTCATCTGGGTGTCCCTGGTATATTTTGCTGGGGCGTGGGGGCCCCCAGCATTACATTTTAGGGCCCCTATAAAATGCTGGGCCCCCTGAATCTGCCAGGTTCTCCATGCCACTCCAATGTCCCTAGTCGTACTTCTTTTTCTTTAAGGATAAACTGGAACACAAGTTAACTTTTATTTCTATACCCTCAGGCCAAAAAGGAAACATGCATCATTATTAATAATATAATTGTGTGAATACTGTTAACGTCAATATAATAAATACCATTTTTCCAATAAATTATTTATGTACATTTTCACATTGGTTATTGTGTCTTACAGGAGGTGTTCCTGCCTATATTGGAGGTTCCACTAAATATGGGGATAACGTAGAGGATGAATGGTTCATTGTATACCTTCTTCAACAGATCACACTTGCATTTCCTGAACTTGCTGCCAGGCATGTTTGTTTAAATTCAATCCCCAGAAAGTAATTTTTCATTATTTACAGGAAAGCGTATTCAAGCGTATTTTTTTGATAACCCTTTTATTGCAGAGTTCAGGATAACGACGGGGAGTTCCTCCTTATTGAAGCTGCAAATTACCTTCCTAAATGGCTGAATCCCGAGAGCAGTGAAAATAGGGTAAGTTGTGTATGTCAAGGTAAAATTCCTATTTAAATTACCTTTATGTTAGGGCTCAAATACTAGGTGCTAAGACTTTAACAGAATGACTCCAAAGAGAATTATACTAAGTTAATATCAAAATATGTATTAACTAGTTGGATTTCACAAAGTCAAATGCCTATGTGTTCAATAAATCTATTCTTTCTGCAGCGTTTTCACATTCAAAAGAAATTGATCACAAATGCATGAAAAAAATTGTCATTAGGGTCAATTGGCTTCTTTAACTGCTAATCGTGTATGACTGAGTGTGTGCATGTATGTTCTTTGTAAAGTCTGGTTCTTGATGTGCCGCAGCTTTGTGCACTCTGCTGGCTAACCCGGATTGGTGGTTGCAAACGGGTGATTGTACACTATTTCATTATATAGTATTTACAGTTTAGCATTACTTGGTTAGTGTAGATATACGTTTCAGCTGGTGCATGAAGGTGAACATAAGCTGGAAAGTTTAACATATCACAAACATTAAATTCAAGGTTGTATAGTTAGTTATATTTGTTTCCTAGAGTTTAAAATTGTGTACACATTTTGTCATATTGGCTGTGTACTAATCAAGGAATCAAGCCTGGATCTTTATGTGTGATATATATGATTGGAGTGGTATTATTTAAGAAACTCCTAAAAGAAACTAGAAAATGCTAGAAGACTGAGAGGCTATTGGAACTATTTTCAGTTTGTTTGTAGAACGAGGCCTTTTTTTCAAAGTCCTGTCTGTGTTCTGGTAAAGGTGTTCTTCTACCGAGGGGAACTGCACATCTTGCCTATACCTTCTCACGCTGGGGACATGGGCTGGCCTAAGGATGTGGTCCCCAGCGAGGAGGAAGCCTTGGCCTTCCTCGTCACACACAAAGAAGCCTGTTTGGCAAGCAGCAGAATCTGCTCTGCAGTTAAGAAGAAGATTGAAGGGTAAGAGATCCACTGACATTTTAGCACCATAGGAAAACCCTTTATTTTCCTTGATCACATTTAAAAAGCTTTGTCTTGTATTTGGTAGATTTTACATTGTATTTGACCTCTGACGTAATTGTATTTAAAATGTTTTTTTTTTTTTTAATAATTATTGTAGTTTTTTTCTATTTTTATACGTAGAATAGCAAATAAACTCAAACACACAGAGCAATTCATTTAGCAATTTAGCATTTAAAATAGAAGCAAGAGCATTTTTTTAACTGGATAATAAATCGTGTTTTGTGCCTTTTGTGTCCAGGTACCCTGAGAAGATCCGCAACAGTCTGCATCGCGCTCACTGTTTTGTCCCAGCTGGGGTAGCTGCCGTCCTGGCCAGACGGCCGGACCTCATTGCCCCCGCAGTGTTGGCCTTTTACTTGCGAGACCCGCTGGACCTCCGCGCCTGCCGCTCCTTCCGCACCTTTCCGGCAGAGACCCGAGTTCTCACCTCAGTAGGCATTCGTGCACCAATGGGCCACCTGTAGTAATAGAAGACGTGTATTTTCACATGTACAATGTTTATCAAGCACATTTAACCATAGAAACATATACAGATAATGGATGGATGATCTTGATGTTGTTGTAAAGCTATGATGTGCCTGTCAAAGTGTTAGTTTAACCATTTCAAAACCATTTAGCAGTAACCATCAATATTGCATCAAGTTATTTAACTTAATTTAAATTAAATTTAATTTAAAAACATGAGCTGTTGGTGAAATGTATTGAATACATGGGATGTCTGGGGTTCATTTACAAATTTTCTAATGTTAAATAAAATTTTTTCTGAACAAATATATACTTACTGGCCAGCTAAATAGCTTTAAACATTTATTTCCCTGAGATGTGTGTGCAGTACTGTATACTTTCAGTTAAACCGTGCTCTGTCTGCCCTGGTCTATACTGTCGTTCACTCGGTGTGACACACAGGCTCTGCTCCATGCGTCCCGCAGGTGCTGTTCACACGGTGTCTGTATGCTCAGCTTCAGCAGCAGCACTTCACTCCCGACCGACACAGCAGCTTCATCCTTCCATCCCGCTCGCAGCCACATTACCGCGCGCATGAGCTGGGCATGAAGCTGGTGATTATACGCCTTCCGTCACAGACCCACAAAAGCCGTTTCTTTTGTTTTTTTTAATGATCTGTCATATTTGTGGTTGTGTGCTTTGAATAATTGACCCCATTGTACCACCACTTAAGATGGTGGTTTAATCTAAATGATCCCGATTGCATGGTTTTATTGCTAACTGTTGCACTATGGGGCAAACAGGCCCATGGTTTCGAGATCTTGTGCTCGAAGTGTAGCGAGCCGTCCTCGGAGCAAGACGTCCCTATCAGTGGTAATCCCCTCTGGGAGGGATTTATTGAAAGTCTGGAGAAGAACGGCTACTTCAGAGTAAGTCTCCTCAGGGTGATATTTGTACCGTGACGCTGGAGTTTTTGTAATCTCATCTTTGTAGTGTTTGGTTCTGCTTTGTTTTACTCCCGTTTAATTCTGCTACCTTATCAGGGAGAGCTGGAGGGTTCTGCCCACTATAAAGAACTAATGTCGCAAGCGGAGACTTTCTTCAAACAATCCGTCACCACTCCACACAGGTCAGCATCTCTAATTCCATGCTTGATGCGGATCTCAAAACCCATAGATTCTCTGTATTGTAGCTTCCCATTGCATGGATTTTGTGCACATGAAATGCAGAATTTAGCATTTATATTGCTTTCTGATGGTACGTGTCCTGCAAGGTCCCCTGGAGATGAAGTTCTACAGGTGTTGCAAAGCTCCCCATTTAGTATAGAAGAGATGAAGGAACAGGAAGCCAATTTACCTCCTGAAGACAGTAAGTCTCAAACTGCTTTCTGTGGCCCCAAAAATGTGTACATTTTATTTTCTTAGCTGCACTGGAAACTATCAATTATGCTACTTCTTTTTTTTTTTTATGATTTCAACTTAATTTCCCACAATTACCGAATAAAAATTGCTCGTCCCTCTACGTTCACGTTTTTAGGTGATAGCTGGCTCGACATCTCGCCCCAGGAACTGGATCGTCTGCTAGAAGAGACGACAGGTTTTGGCGCCAGACAATCAAACTTGGGTCAAGACAACAAGCAGGAGGGAGCAAAGTGTGAAGAGGCGAGCTACAGCCTGGTAGCAGTGACACAGGGCGTGAAGAACTTCATGAAGGCCGTGTCATCACACGAGGGAGCTGAATTTCCCTGGTGGGCTTGGAATATTACCCAGCATGCCGAGCAGCTTTCATTCTAGAACTCAATTACTTTTACTAGCATATCTTAGTTAATAGTACCATAACTGTTAATGACTTCCATTCCATTTTGTGTTGCAGGTCCCATTCACAGGAGCCCTTCAGTTTTGATCCCAGCTCCATGGCCAATACTTTGGATAAACTCCTTGGTAACGCTGATTTGTGTGGTTCTTTGATGGTCTTGCTGTTTCCCCTTCTGCTGCTAACTTGCGTATTAAATTATGCAGGAGGAAATGCTGAGGAGTTGGATTCAGATGATCTGGAAGATGACAGCATTGATGATGACGACGACGACGATGATGATGATGATGATGAAGATGTCAACGAGGGAAATGAAGGTGCTGCGGTGCCTGAGGGCAGAAGTGCAAAACTTGGAGGGGAAACAGGAGCTGAAGATTTGGGCAGCCTTAGGAGATACATGGAGGAGATGGACCACGAACTGAAGGATACAAACATTGGACAAAGCTTCTGCAAGCCTGTCAGTTTGACGTTTCTTTCCTCTGCATTTCAGATTACTGAGTAATGATTGAATTCTGACTAACTTTAAACTGGGGCTGAGTAGTATGCTCTAAAAATGATATCACGATATTTTCACAATATGAATATTTATTATGGTATTCTAAAATTCCTATGCAGAAAACAGTGTTCAGTGTTTTTGAGTTTTTTTTGATTATGATGACCAAATTATTTTGCTAATAGTTACGGAGCATGTGGCAGGTATAATGATGAATTATGCCAACTAGCTCCTAACCTTGATGTAATTAGTGTAAACATTGTGCATTGTAACTGTTAATTATGCAAGAAAACAAGTGTTGAAGCTATATCACGATACAATAATCGAATTGGTGACAATATGAATCACAATATGATATTTAATCGATATATTGTCCGGCCCTACTTTTGAAAGTACTGTGTAAAATTGTGACACCCTTTACCAATTTGTCATTTATCTCTCCAGCAGGGCATGGACAAATCAGGTGTTGCTGAAGCGTTCCCACCAGAAGAGGATGAGATCCAGCCTCTGAATGTAGACCTGAACCTGGTGGCTAATCTCCTGGAGTCCCTCAGCTCCCAGGAGGGATTGGCTGGGCCTGCCTCCAGTCTCCTGCAGAGCATGGGTGTCCACCTGCCACCAAACGCTGACCAACCCTGAGCCCAAGACGTCAGACCCCCTCTCTAAATGGCTGTAGTAGCAGCAGCGTGAAAAACTGCTGTCAGATTGAAATTAAGTAACTCTGACATTTTTTTTCGTAATCCTTTTTCTACATATGAATGAGATTCCTTTTTTAGTCCTATTATTATCTTAAATGACATGGATGCTCATGAAGATATCATCCTGTGAATATTATAGATTTTGAAATAAACTTATTTTGTAAAAATGTATTTTAGTCAATCATTTTATTATTTTGAATAGGATTTACCAATCAATTCTCCTACAGTCCTGGATGGGATGATTCAAAGCCTTTCTCAGGAAGGACAGTACATATCACAGTGTACAGTGAGTCCGTAACAGGGTGCTTGCACACACACAAAGTAATTTGGCTGCCCCAGTTCACCTGACCAGTAACCTCCTGTAAATGATGGGAAAGTATGTAAAATCTACTGAAACCAACAAGCCTGATGTACATTATATACAGACACAGGGCAGAAGTGCAAATTGTAAGACACTGCCAAGCTCTTTTGATGCCTGCAAATGTCTTGTCATATTTTTTGTTATACTGTGTTAAAACTGAAATGTTCATTCTGAAAAAATGAAATAGTGACTCTCTATCTATACCCAATAATAACCAGGTCATGAGATGTATATACTGTATACACACACAAAATGTTTAATATGTTTCTCGGTTGAGTGAGAAAAGATGTTTCATTAAAATTGTATGAATTGTGAAATAATATATGCTTAAAATTTGAGCTGTAACCCAAATCAAACCTTAAAATTGAATTATACTGTATGACTTCTTAAAACATCTATTTATAGATGTATCAAATAGAATTTAAATTAAACTCCAGTAGGAAACATCACATGCACCTATTCCATAACCGTAAAAGTATCTACAGTATGCAGAAATACAGAGTATATCATTTTAATGTGTGAACTCTGCTTTATTCATAAACAGTTCAAATGATTGATTTTTATTTTTACTAGGCCATATCATATTTTTGTCTTGTGAGATGTTTACTCACTGGATTTAACAATGAAGGCTTGGTGGGAAATCTATTAATAGGATATTCTACTGCAGACATCTGCTTCTGACATCGGTGTAGCCCCTCTGTTCCTCTCTGCCTCCCTCTCCATCAATTAATCTCTGTGATTCTTACGCTAAGATTAACACAACTTCTTCAGTATCTCCAGGAGAATTATGGGTATGAGTCAGTTACAGGGTTGTGCTGTAGAATCATTGATAAGGCCTGGTTATCTGGGAGCTGAATCTGCAGGCATCTGCTGCATGTTGTAGGGTCATGAGTGTCTCATCGTTCAGTCTCCAATTCTGCTCCATCCATAACTCTTGCAGCAGAATTCATCAGATAACATCGAGCGAAAATGATGTTTCTCGTGTAAATGGTATCCTGGCAATTGAAATGTTCTTTCCCATGTTACCTAGGTATGTATTTTAATATGAGAACTCCTCCTTGTTGGCAAGTTCATCTAAATTCACCACAACGTTTTTATAGCGTGGCTAATGACGCCTCGATTCGATTAAACCGAGCACCAAGCCATCTGGATCAAGGACTGAGAGCAGATAAATCCATTGGTGGCGTGAGGAGATTATCAAGATCTCTCGACAGTAAAAAAAAAAAAAAAAAAAACAAAAAAAGAGAGAGAAGAAAAAGTTGCACAAGGATAAAGTAGCTACTCAGATTTTTAGTAGAATCAAATATGTTTCATGGAAACGGGGGATCTTGCACGATAGTTTCACAAGGCATGCCTGGGGTATGCGCAGACTGAAGAAGAATATAGCAAAAGAGGACGGGGTGTCCTGATCATATCTACACCCACCTGTCACGCCCAGCTTCCTGGTGGTCATCCTCCACTCCATGGTGTCACCTAGGCAACATGCAAACATCCAGAAGAAGGCAGGAAAAAAAAATCAAAACTCCAGTCTTTTACACATGGGTCATGCAGACAGCTTCAGTGTACAATAGGAGGGCAATGATCATAACACCTTCATGTATTTGTTTGTAAATACCCAACCTGACAGGTCCTGCATAATTGCCCCAAAGGCGATAATGGCGAGTATGTCGGCGCAGGTCCGAGAGGAAATGATCCCAGGAAGAACGTGTCCCGTCTCTCACACTCATCTCTACTGCTGTGAGATGGAGGCTGCAGCTGCTGGTACCAAATGCCTTCCACTGGAAACCATGGGCATTGTGCTGGTCAGGTACAGTAAGTGCAAACTTCAGGCAATCGTGCAAAATACTGTTTATTTTTTTGCACTTTTATTTTTTAAGCTAATTGGATTATGGTGCCAGTAACAGTTGTGGGCTTGGAATCTGTCATTAGTGATGTCATTTGTGATGTCATTAGTGATGTCATTTGTGATGTCATTTGTGATGATCCCATTTCTTGCTGCAAATGATCATCTTTCTTTTCTTTTCTTTTTTTTTATCTTTCTAAACACTGAGAACACGGCACAGAATTCATTCACTTGCCATACTATGTTAACCTGGTTCTCTGTCAATGTATATAATCTGGTTTCATGCAATTTGTGTATCTTTTCTTCAGAGTGGGGAACTGCCCTAGAGCACCTTCCAGAGTACCCCGGAATGACTGGCTGGCCAAATCCATCGCCCCCTACAGGGAGGCGAATGGTACTGCAGACCGCTCACACAATCCTGCTTTGCGACCTTCAGAGAGTCTTGCGCAGGGTGGGCTCCACCAGTAACGTGGTTCCTCGGTCTTGCTGTTAACCTTAATGCAGTACTGAAATACTGAAGGAATAATTTAATGTGAAAACAAGTCTGTTTTATAGAAAACCTAATACTGAACAATATTATTTATTTTTCATTTAAATCTGTCTAGGCAGCATCCATGTCTGTTCTATTGTATGTTGTTCCATGTAACATAATTCTAGACTTATGTATTTTGCATTTGTTATGGATGGATTGTAGCGGATTGCTTTTATGGATTGTAATAGGACAATTATTGTGTCATTGAAAGGTATAATGAAGTAATACTCAGTCTGGTATGAAACATTAAAGCTGTACAAAGGACTCTATAAAGCTTAAAAATGCTTAATTACTATAATTTATAGCAGGGGTGGGCAATCCTATGTTGAAAAGGCTGGTGTGTATGCAGGTTTTCACTGTGACTCCCTAATTAGACTACTAATTAGAGGACTATTTGGCTGATGAGCAGCGGAACCTAAAGGTTATCCCAAAACCCCACATACACACTGGCCCTTTGTGGATAAGACTGGCCACCCCTGATATATAGTAAGTAAGATGTGGATTATGTAAACAAAATATTTCAGGTTCAAAGGCAAATACATCGGATAAGCGGGAGAAAATGGATGGATGGATGAATGGAGGCAGCAAGAGATGAAGATAGCAATTTTCTTTGAATAAAAGTGTCGTTTTATCATTCAATTTCAAGGGTGTCGAATCTCAGTCCTAGTGGATCATGCATATACAGTTTTTTTTTTTTATTCCAGCTGATTTGCTTATTTTGAACTGTCAGATTAGTATTTACTCATTACCAGTGATGCGGAAATGTAGTCATCCATTTTTAATGAATGTTTTTGTTATGAGATAGGGGTGGAGGAGGTGCCAGCCCCAGTCACGCCCGAGCGAGCCAGTGTGGAGCGCGGTTATGTGACACCTCAGCGGGTCTACGAGCCCCTTAACACGGAGGCCGGGGAGACAGCCTTGGCTGATCTGAGCTACATCCTCATCCTGGACTGCCGCAGTGCAGAGAGGTGGCAGCTTCTGTCCACTTACAAAGCCACCAATGCTTCTGCTTTTACCTAATTCCTAAACCCAAACTCCCAAGGGGCAAAGAAATTCGCAGTTCATTAATTTTTCTGTTGTGATAATCCTAGATAAAAATAAAGAGATTGCAAAAACAAATGTTTTTGCTTTTTTCCTTCTGAGTAATCAGCTTTTGACCAAAAATATCATGTAAGGCTCTGACGGATCTACATAATAAAGTCTTGCTTTATCTCCATGAATAGTATAAACTATAAATAATATATATAAATAATAATATAGTATATACTACAAACTCTTATAGTATATCTTGACAGTATGATTGCAACTCTCTTATTCTAAACTTAGTTGGCCTACTAATGTATTCAACTCTACAATTTACATTGTGCCCAAGATGATTCACTGATCTAATCATTTGACCTTTTAAAATGATTTTTCCCTCTAACATAAAGAAATAATTCAAACAATGATGACTTTGAAGATTTAAAAAAGAAATATCTAGCTGTTAGATGGGGTGGGGGGGTCATCATTGTGCTGATACTTAAACAGCTATGTGACTCTGTTACTGCCCCCATGTGTAATGAAGCGGGCCTCCTCCATCTCCCAAATAAAGCTCCTGTCACTTTTTTTCAAATCAGGAATGACGTGACGCGGTTTGATGTCCTGTCCCCAGAAGACCACACCCTACATAAAAATATAAAGAACACTTCCCTTAGTTGTGTTGTCAAACTCCATCTCTCAAGGGTACGTTTCTAAACCTCTGGCCTTTATTATGTTTTACAAGTTTTCTATATTAATCAGCTTCAGGTGTAAATCTAGGAGTTCTGAAATCGTACCCAGAATTCCATTCTATGAGAAGTAGAGTTTGAAAGCAGTGTTTAATCTCTAAATGTAGATATATAGATATTGTAGCTATTGGGGCAGCGTGTGGCTCAGTGGGCTGTGCCAGTAATCTGAGGGTCACTGGTTCAAACCCAGCCTCAGGACGTCTGCGGGTCCTTGAGTGAGGCCCTTAACCCCCAGGTCCCTGGGTGCTGCTACTGGTGGTTGCCCTTCGTGGGCAACTTACTCTACAAAGAGCAAGTTGAGGGAGGTGTAAAGACAATTTCCCCACAGGGATCAATAAAGTATCAATAATTATTGTTATATAGAGGTCACCTCTCGTTTTGCAGATGGTTCCTCCTCACTGACCTCCCTGTGTCGTTTCCCTGTTACGACAGGTACAAGCAGAGTTACCTGGTGACAGCCAGAGCCAGCGTGACTGTGATACACCCCGAGCTGGGCTGCCTGATCAACTGTGTTCAGTTGCAGGAGTTTTCAATCATCCTGCTCTATGCAGAAGCAGGACACAGCCCAGGTAATAACCATACTCCATTGAAGTTTAATTTGTCACACACACAATCATTCTACTGTGTAGTGAAATGAATTTCCACCTGCTTCTTGAACATCCATATACAGTGAAGGATTATTAATTAAACTGTAGAATGTTCAGAAGCACTCAAGTAATGACGGAGCTAATAAACTAATTTGATAGATGAACATAGTACAATTATGGCTGGATTCATTATAAGTGGCAGGAGTGATTAACTGTGGTTATGGGCCAGATGTCTATAAAAGGGTTTTTTGTGCATTTTAGAGGGACTAGGCTGTGTTAGTACAGTTACTGTTTATCTCTGATTTTTCATGCCACTTTGTGTGATTGCATTATGTGTGTTTTGTGTTAAATGACTGCGCACGTTGTGTGCCGCTACCTAATGTTCTGCGTATCGCTGTATCAGTGGGGAGTAAGGAAGACAAGGACGACCCCCCAGCTCTGCTTCTTCCAGCTCAGTGCCCTGGGCATGGACCCCCGTTATCCTACTGGGCGGTTTCTCCGCCTACCAGCAGCTGTACCCCTTCCTGTGTATTCTTTGCATGGCACAGGAGCGGCGTGCCCTCACCATCTATCCCTCGGAGATCCTGGAGGGGGCGCTGTACCAAGGCTCGGCCGTCCAGGCACAGGACTACCGTATCGTCAAGACCCTGCGAATCACTCATGTGGTCAATGCTACGGCTGGCTGCCCGGATGCCTTCCCCAGCCCGCTGTGCTGCACTGTCTACGCCTGCGGCTGAGCGACGACGTGCAGCAGGACTTGGGGGAGGAGCTGCCACGGGCGGAGCAGTTCATGGCGGCGGCCTTATGCAGCGGTGCCGGGTGGGTGCCGGTTCACTGCAGCCTCGGCCGCAGCCGCAGCTCGGAGCTTGCCATCGCCTTCCTCATGGAGTATCACCAGTGGCCGCTGCGGCACGCCTTCCAGTGGCTGGAGGAGCGTCGAGCTTGTGCCGTGTCCCACGCCGCCTTCCTGTGCTAACTCTCCGCCTACGAGGAGCAGCCCTTCGGCCAGATCACCTCTTGACGAGATCCACCTCTAAGCCCCATGTGACCATGGGAATCCACAGAGGCTCCACCTCACTTCTCTATGAGTGACACTAATGTGGCCCCTCCCCTCTTACAGCTACCAGGTCACATGATCAGGAGGACTAAGTCACATGATCAGGTGGACCAAGTCACATGATCAGGAGGTTACCCAGCACAGAGGACTGTGTGCAGAACTTTTTTTTTTATCCAGCAGGTGAAGATACCCGAGTTTACAACCACCAAGTGATTTATCCTGTTATCTGCTAGCCCTTGGTTTCACCTGCTAATTATTCAGACACCCAAACTCTCGTTTTTATTGCAAACGTGGCTAGAAATGTGCAGCAGTTATTAAACTGACTGCAGATGTGGCAGATATGTCCGAACCTGAAGAATCTGTCATGAAAGCATCATTTTTATTCTTCTCAGGTGTCTAAAGTCCCTAATAAATAACATATTCTGCTTCTGCCTAATGTTTCACAATAATTACTTTAGCTTTTCTGGGGTACTGGTGGAGAGTCAAAGCCCAATGATGCAGATTACAGAATGCAAAATATTTCTCCCTGAATTCATCGGCTTCACTACAAATATTAAATACAACAGTTCACGTCCTGGATCAATGTGAAACACTTCTTTGGATATAGCGACCTCTGGTGGACATTGATGATTTTCAGAAAGAAAAAAGCGGTGTGCTCTCAATGTGTTTCAGTGACCTGGTTATGCTCATTGCATATTAACCTTTTAATAAGCCTTGCCGCCATGGTCCATCACTTGCTGGACTCGTTCTTCTGCTAGTGTGCGTCTGGCCATCACTGTCAATCAAAGTTTTCATACCAGTTATCGTTGGTAGGAGGGGCGCGTGTGGCTCAGTGAGTTATACAGCTCTGATTGGAAGGTTGCTGGTTCGAACTCTGGTCTCAGTAGAATACTCATGTGTCGGTGGGTCTGGTCCCTGAGCAAGACGGTTAACCCTCGGCCAGGTCCTGGGGTGCTGCATGCGGTGGCTAATCCTACCCTGCAACCCCCCCCCCCACGTAATACTTCTAAAATTTGAAGGGTTGCTTTGCCCCCAAGCACATTCTTGTCTGCGCTAACTTTAGTTCCAAGCGAGCAAATTATATCAAATGGTCGTCTTGCGTTTACAGTACATAAAAAGCTACCTTTCTGAAAGGTGATTTAAAAAAATAAAATAAAAAATGTAACAACAACAAATGGGCATCAGTATGAAAATGGCAAGTGTGTTATGTATCTATTTTATAAAACACTGCAACGTAATTGTGCAGTTCCTGATATTAGATTGGTGCTAGTTTAAAGGACATAGTAGCTTTACTCATAAATGTTCATGAACAAAACACGAAGGGTTATATTTTGTAACTACGGAAATAGAGTAGGCTAAGCAAAGGGCAGAACACGAGAGCTACTATTATTCCTAATGGGCTGCGTACTATACCACAAGTATATGCGCTAAGCAAATAGTGTAGCACATTTAACATTTACAATAAAGTACATTTGACGATTAATCAAATGATCGTAAGAAAATAACAGTCAAACAATCCAAATAAGACAAATAAAACATTTAATCAGCTAGTCTAACCGTAGGACTTATCAGAATTCGAACAATGGAATGCATAAAGAAAATGCACAGAGAAAATGCATAAAGAAAATGCGCAGATAAAATGCATAGAAGTGTATGTTCGATATGTGCATCCCCATTATTACAGTAGAAGTTGTGTGTGAGATTCCGCACGTAGCATCCTTAAGCTCCGCCGCCAGATGGCAACAAGAAGGACGTGGAAATACGTATAAAAAGTGCAGGAAAGAGCAGAAGTCACTTCGCGAGCGGATCCACGTTATATGAACTAATCCAGGAGGGAAGCGATACGCTGCCATCACTTCTCTTTTATTGCTGCGATTTCTCAAAATCAGACCTCCTTTTGCTTATGGTAAGCCATTTTATTCCCTTGTAAATTTTTTCGAGACACTTTTTAAACCTTTTCTATTTAGCGAAAAAGTTCAATGGCTTTCAGTTTGCGAAGTACTTTGGTGATTTATGGTGATTTATCAGTGCCCTGCGATACTTTTATACTTTCTAGTTACGTTGACTGTTAAGTAACAAAGAGGCAGCATGTAGACTGAATTCTGGTTTACGTGTCAATGAATGAAACTCTGACAGTTACTAGTTCAGTTACATTGTCTCACGGTGTAAATGCCACACTTTGATATTTAGTTGTGACATAATATTGTTACTGTAAGCCGATGTGTATTGTTATGCTGATTATGTATTATCATACCTTCGGATATTGTTTCCAATAACACTTTCTGCCCATAGGCAAACGCTTTGAATATTTAAATTTGTATTTGTCTAGTTTAGTATATATATATATATATATATACACACACACTATTTAAACGTTCTAAAGTTACCATAGTATTGCTTATGAAATATTTCTGGACATAATGCATTTCGATTCAAGAAAAATGTTCTGACGGTGACAGTGTTGAAGTGGAGTTTATGCGTGCGATTTTATTCAGTGCAGGACGTAAAGGGAATTTATTATAACATGGATTTATACGTCTCGATTTTCCATGTCTAGTACAGCTCGCATTAATAGTCAGATTCGTGTGTGATCGTTTGTAATCGGCGCTAAACTGGTGAATAGTTAAGAAGGTGCTTTCACCACGCCGTGGTGCAATGGGGGGAAGGGCGGAGACGTGGCAGTACCCCTCCCCCCCCGCCATCCTCTCTATGGATGCTTACACGTAAAGCACCTTTCTACATTTTTTAACTCCATATCCATGGGCGTCTCCCTCATATTTCATAATTATTCGTTTGGATTCCCCCACATTTAACATAAAATATAAATTTTATGCCAGTGTGTCCCCCCACATTCAAAATGCTTCTGACGCCCCTGTCCATATCTCACGTAATGATGTTGTTAGACAAGCACTTATTGACACATAAATGTTTGATTTTCACTTGTGATGCTTTTTGCGTTATTTCGGATTATAACTTCGCTAACATAATCGCCGAAACCACTTGTGCAGTTCAGAAGTCAGAAAATAGACCCATAGGTGCAGCTGCATGCATTTTTATGATTAAACAACTTTTATATAAATACACTAACGTGCTGTTTTTAAGTGTTCGATTAATAGCAACTGATTGTAGCAAATATCTCCTTTCATGTATTATAAGTATTTTAGTCCAATGGAGACCATTTTAAAAGGTTCAAACATTTTTTTGTGGTACTTTCTACATACGGATTTGTCTGATCCACTGCTCGTGTGTATTACTGAGCAGTTTAGAACTGCACCGGTGATTGTAGGGGGTAGGTTCAAATCCCATGGCTGGCAGAATGAGGCTCAGTGGTGAGTAAGGTCCTTAACAGCAATTGCACCAGGGAGGTTGCCTGATCCTCACTTGAATGTCACTTTGGAAGAAATCTGCTAAATAAATAGAAGTGAACGTGCATATTCTGGTTCCAAAAGGGCCGCTTCTACTGCTTCACTTTGTGGCCAAGCATGCCTTTGCCTTTCTTCATTAAATTCTGACTGTGATTCTCTGAGTGCATTCTGAGTGCATTCACAGGCACGTCATTGTAACTTTGTGAAGGAAGCGAAATTCAGAGGCATGTGTCTGCTGTTATAGTAGCTACTGCACACTTAGAAAGGCAGGGTTGGAGGTAATTAGGCACGTTCTCCAGACAGTCCTGGGGATGAGGAGAATAAAGTAAATTTAACGACATCATCAGTGCACCCTCATTGACTCAAAGCTTGGGGGGGAAAAAAGTAGTATGGATATTATTAGTGAATGCAGCATGGAAAAAGTAGTATGGATATTATTAATGAATGCAGCATGGAAAAAGTAGTATGGATATTATTAATGAATGCAGCATGGAAAAAGTAGTATGGATATTATTAGTGAATGCAGCATGGAAAAAGTAGTATGGATATTATTAATGAAAATTTGAGATGGTCATCGAAGAAAGAAAGTTGCCTTGAAAACCGCAGCCATTTAAGTTAGTTGTAAAGAAAGCTGCTCATTGGGGGTTTTCACTGATGGATTCTGATTGACATTTTGATAAAAATGCAACTTTTACCACGGACATAGTATTTAAAAACGTAGCCTACTTAGTTGTTTTTTCTTTTCTAAATCAAAACTTTTTGCCACGGACCTAAATGAGTCTAGACACATTCGCCCATGTGCCAACAGGTTAAAGATCCTTGGTGTGCATTCCTTCATTTTAAATGAAGATCTGCAAAATTGTCAGTGTCGGAATTTGACAATTTAATATCAATATTTATTTAACAACCCAAATGGTGACTCCTTGAAACTCTGAGAATTATACATATTAACTTATTTTCCTAACCAATTATCTTTTTTTCTGTGTCTCATTTTTGTCTCCTGAAAAGCAGGGGAACTGCGAGAATTCATGTGAGGTTTCTGTGTTATAGTTGTAGCTTAATTCTCTTTTCAATACAAGCCTCAGCTGTTCTCTGACACATAAAATGTCTGCACAAGTGATTAATTCCTCACAATGCTTTTCTCTATAGTGGCAGAGTGAATTGGCCGTTTAACATGCCTCAGTGAATCTGCTGTACACACATTGCTTGTGCCGTGCCTTTTCAACTATAGGAAAAGTGAGGGGGAATGGATCATTGACTTTCTGAGTTCCATGCAATGAGAGTGATGTTAATTTTAGAAGGTCACAAGGTGCCTGACTCAGGGCATAACCCACGTCACACGTGAATTCTTACTCATGTAAGCGGAGTAGACGGGTTAATCGATAAGTACCGGTAGCTTTTTGTAGAAAAGCTTAGCCAATAAGCCAAACTCAGTTTTGGCCACATAGTTGATTTAGTTCTTCTATGGTTTTTCCTTTTAAACTAATTGAAAACCTTTAAAAGTAACACTAAAGGACTTTGGAGCAGCATGTGGTTCATTGGCTAAGCCTCGGGCCTGCAATCAGAAGGTTGCCAGTTGTAGGCCAGCCTCTGAGCAAGGCCCCTAACCCCCATCTCTGTGGGCTTAGCTGCCCTTCACTGTCACGCCCGCGCTTACATGCATGTGTGTCATGGAGAGCAAAAGGGAGTAGGGCTCAGTAAAGCAGTATTATATAGTACCAATTGTCATACAGCATTTGAAAGATGAAGATGGCCTCTTCCTATGATGTACAAATGATTATATATACTTAACAAATCCAAAGTAAGACATAGTACACACTTCTGAGACTGCAACTTTACCACGTGTGTTTGTTGTGGACTCTCAAACCTGCTGTTTGATCCATATCTTGATGCAATCTGGTAGTTGAACTTGCCCATGCAGGTAGTTAAGTGTTGGTGTTGAACTTGCCCATGCAGGTAGCTAAATGCTGGTGCTTGTATTGGGGAAGGTTTCACGGACAGCTTGCTCTACAAAGAGCAAGTTGAGGGAGGCGTAAAAACAATTTCCCCACGGGGATCAATAAAGTATCAATTATTATTATTATATAGTTTAGAAGACAAAAAGCAGGTTCATGTCCTTTGGCTCATCCTAAATCAACCTCGCTTCATAGCTTTGGAATAGAAGCATGTTGGTTTCCCTCATATACTCTAGTGGCAGGATCTTCCATTCCATTATTACACAATCTCTTAAAATAAGTGCTTCCAGATACTGACACAGATTCCAAGATGTTCCAAGATTATTACACAATCTCCATATATTCCATTAAAATGTCTACGATGGGACGGTGCAGAGATTGGTGATCTGACTACACCTACAAATGAAGGGTGATGATGAGATCTTGCTGTTCAAACGTATTTCTGCTTATATCTTGTAACCATACTATACAACCAGTATCTGGGATAGATTTACAATAGGACTTTCACTCCTTCAGTTTAGCAGATATTTTCAAAGGCCAGAAGGCAGCACAGCGTTCAGGTACTAAAAGGCTGCGGACTAGAAAACCACGTCCACATCATTTATTGTGTAGAGCCAAAGACAGAACCCTAGAACTGGGTAACTCTGTTCAGTCTCCTTTCTGGCTGACTGCAGTGTCCACCAGTACTGTGCTAGTTGCCCCGCCCTAATTCTGACTGTCTCCTCCTCAGCATGATGGAGATGAAGCCATGGCCTGTTTGGTTCGTACTGATGTTCAGCAGACTTATCCAAGCATCAGTCACTCATAAAGACTTCTTCACATCCACTGGTGAGCTCCTTCCCACTAGTTTTATTCATGAATCCATGTTTAAATACACTGCATGTTGTCTGAAGGCAGTCTACACTTTCTTGAAGAAAGATCAGAATTACATATTTCTTTTTACATATGTCTTCATCTTCACACTTCTGTGATTTAAATGTCATGTCTGTTAACCTGTAATAGTCAAAGGAACAGATGAGGGTTTGCTTCTGCTTTTAAATCAGCAAATAACAGCTAAAATTTGAAATGTCATGCCTTTCTGTATTGCGTTTTTATATAATCTGTAATTGTAACATATTTAAAGCAACCACAATCCATATCTTTATTCTTGGTACAACATATAACATAAAAGGATACAATTTAATAAATGGGGGAAGCCTGCATAGCATTTCTGTTGCACTGCATTTCTGTTGCACTGTATTTCTGTTTCATTGTTTTGGTCATTAGGCCAAATGACGGATCTTTTATACACGGAGAAGGATCTTGTGACGTCGCTAAAAGATTATGTTCAGGCTGAGGAGAACAAACTGGAGAAGATCAAACGGTGAGATTCCTTAGATACAAAACACATCTGATACACTCTCTGCTAAATGCTATTGTGTAATTGGTTGATGTCAGTGGCCCTACAGTGGCACAACTGGTAAAGCCACTTATGTCTTTTAGGAAAATGATCTTCATAAAATTATAATGTAAAAGCAATAATTAATTGGAATTAAATCTGAGAACATAACCCCTTGAAAGCTGTCTCTGAATTAAAATTTCCCATTTACCGCTACCTAGGCACTGAAGGAAAGTAAGTAATGTGTCACTGGCTTGATGCGTAGAGGGTCAAACCGAGACAGAAGAAGTCTGGAATCATATTTTAACATTATGACTCTAGAACATGTAATTATTTGGGGTCCAAGCAGCATTCTGCATCCAGATTACCTTATTGTATTTGTAATTATTTGTTTGCATTTCAGCTTCAAAATTTTCCAGTTAATAATTGATCTAGTCGCATTTCGATTCCTCTTTGGCCTCAGAGGTTAAACCTGGATGTCTCTGCGCGGGCTCCTTTAGGTGGGCGATCAAGCTTGACTCTCTGTCCTCCGCGGCCACGCAAGATCCTGAAGGCTTTCTGGGACACCCTGTCAATGCCTTTAAGCTGATGAAGAGGCTCAACACGGAGTGGGCAGAGCTGGAGAGCCTAGTGCTTAAGGATGTTACTCATGGTTAGAAGCCCCACGCCTGTCTATCTTTCTTAGAAATGAGATAATTATGTCTTATAGCAGATGTGCCTATTCATGATAAATAGTGAAGGAACAAAAATCTTTGCTAACACTTTCTACAAATGTCATGTCTATATGAATCTATGAACATATTCATAACACATTATAATGCAGTCCTTAAGCATTATAAACATGACTACAAATATTTATGAAAAGGCATAACACATTATGGCCATGTTTTAGTGCTTGACAAAATGATGCTTCTTGAACCATTTGCTGTATTTTTTGACCCCACTAGATGGTGCTCTTTGTTTGCTTTGGGGCATGCCTTGCGCCCTTTTTCCACAGAGCACCAGTGTAGTCAAAAAATTCAGCAAATGGTTAATGAAACATAATTTTTATTCGTCATTACCATGTTTATTATGCATTATGAATGCTTTATGAGGCTGTCATCTATAATGCATTATATATACCTTCATAATGCAGTAAAAAAGCATCCTTAATTCTTATACCAACTATAGTAATGCATTATGAAGGTATCTATAGTGCATTATAGATAAGACTTTCATTGGAGTTTATGAAGTATTATAGTCAATGCTATAATGTCTTATGACTGTCAATTGAAGATGTGACGCTTTATTAATTTGTTTGCCAATCATTATGATGCATTATGAAGATATCTATAATAATATTATATTATATAATAATATATTATAGATGAGAACTTCAAGTAAAGTGTTACCATATATTTCAGTAAATTTCTTGTTATTTCAGTAACAAGCTGACTCTTGTCCCAAGGATACAATAAAAAAGTATGGAATAGCACACTCTGCTCTCTGCTTCCCAGGTTTTATCTCTAACCTGACCATCCAGCGGCAGTACTTCCCCAGTGATGAGGACCAGACTGGTGCAGCCAAGGCCCTCCTAAGGCTGCAGGACACCTACCAGCTGGACACCAACACCATCTCAACAGGGAATTTGCCTGGTGAGCTTCAGGCTGTCAGTGCATGTGCATGCATGTGCAGCCTGGTCTCAAATTAAAAATCGCACTGGAGCCAGCTGAGCAAAGTTGGCAACCCTGCATGTGTCTGTGACCATTTCATAGACTAGTCAGTACTTTATTGTTCCAAGATTGTGGGTTCAAATCTGGATCCATAGCTCTGACTCCTCATGTTTCCATGGAGCACCTACAGTTATGACCTATGTTTCAAAGATATTCTGGTCGGAATTATTGGGTGAAATTACCCTTAGTTGGCGATGTAGTTTTTCCTAATGAATAAATACATACTTAGCAATCCATGTAACTTGTAAGTATCTTCAGTGAAATCTTTGCTGATCAGAAATTGTTACTTATAAATAATTATCAAATATATTTGAATATGTAATTTTCTTACTTTGTGTTGATGTTGATTTCATTACAGGAGTGACCCACAAGAGCAGTATGACAGTAGAGGACTGTTTTGAACTGGGAAAAATTGCCTATTCAGAGGCGGACTACTATCACACAGAACTTTGGATGGCCCAGGCGCTCAGGCAACTGGACCAGGGTGAGGAGTCTACTATCGACAAGGTGGATGTGCTGGATTATCTCAGCTATGCCATCTACCAGCAGGGGGAGCTGGAGAGGGCCCTTGAGCTCACCAAGAGGCTGCTCAAAATAGGTGAGTGTCTGCAACAGCTGAGAAACAGCACCACCGAAGCATACTATGTCTAAACTTTCACACTGGATTTATGTATGATTTACCTGAAGGTCATGAAAACAAATCCTCGTGTTTATTTGTGGGTGTAGTCAAACTTGACTCTTGTTTCTGGCTTGGTTATCAAATAATGCCAATTTCCCGTGACTTCTGCTCCCAGATCCTGAGCACCAGCGTGCCAACAGTAACTTGAAGTACTTTGAATACCAGCTGGAGAAACAGAAACGGGCAGAGGCCAAGGAGGAGAGCAACGGGCAGGAGAAAAGAGATTCGGCTAAAAAGAGCAGGTCCATAGCCCCTCTCCCAGAGAGGAAGAAGTACGAGCAGCTGTGTCGTGGAGAGGGTGTCAGATTGGTGAGCATTATGGCCCACAGACAAGCAGAGTCCGCTTACAATGTTTGCACCACATCAATAAGATCTTTTTTCTCAATCAAAACATCAATCAGTCAGACATTCGGGTGACCAGATAATCCATGTTAGGCTGAACATTTTGATCTAGCACAGGATTTGTAAACCACCATTTCAATTTTAACGCACTTTCTAAGACCTGAAATAGCTCAAAGTCTCCTCTGACATGGATTATCTGGTCACCCTATTAATTTTCATTGTGCAGATGTGGTTTTTAAGTCAATAGACAAAGTGCTATCAGCAAGGTACGGTTATTACACTTAGCAGGTGTCTCAGGGTAGGTATTGCATGTGACAGTGCACTGTGGAAGTAGCTGGGGGTACATGAGGCGATTCCTACATCAGTGCTTGGAAGCAAATTAAGTAAACGTCAGAAGGTGGGCTTGCATGGTTATGTGGGGACTGTTTCTTATATTTTTTTGGGGGAGGGGCTTCTCTTTCTGTAGACACCTCGCAGGCAAAGCCGCCTCTTCTGTCGTTACTTTGACAACAACCGGAAGCCGCTCTACCTGATTGGGCCAGTGAAGCAGGAGGACGAATGGGATCGCCCGCGCATCGTCCGCTACCATGACATCATCTCTGACAGCGAAATGAAGAAGGTCATGGAGCTGGCAAAGCCAAGGGTGAGTTCTCTTGATTAGTGGATTACTGGTAGTTTGTGGGTGGTAACATGGATAAGTTTTCAGATACATGATTTAAGCATGGAACGTGCTTGCAATCTTTTAGAGTCTATATTTTAAATGAGATTTGTTCCAGGAAAACCATGATTAAGTAGGACATTCGAAAAGATGAGTTTTGAAAAAGCTTCAAAACAATATATAACATCATGGGATGTCTTAAAGATTACGGCAGCAACAAAATAAGTTTATACATAGTGCAAGACATCATCTATATAAAACAAATGGGTGTATTCAAAAGTCACATGGGTGTCTTCAAAAGCTCACTGGCAAACTTGCTCTCCTTGCACAAGGTAGGCAGTCCTCTCATTTTCATTCATTCTTGCTCGCTTTCTTCATATAGGCAAACCAAATTTGTGAGTAGGCACCATTTCAAAAGGACACACGACAAAAAAAAACCAAAACAAATAGATATTTACTGCCGCTGACATGCAATAACTCATTGAGAATGTGTAGAGTTATCTGTAGAATATGAGAATGATGAGTGATGGGGGAGGAAATTAAGAGATGAGATCTGACAGAGGAATATCGGTCATTGGCCAGATTACCCTGACTGCAAGTTCATTATAAGCTTAACAACATGTTATTCACAGTCAATGTAGGAACGTTATTGGTTGACTGAATAATTAATTTTTACATTATGTTTTTACAAAACACTGGGTAGACACCGGCCTATCTAAATTGATTGGGCACAACGCCACTCTTTTTTAAAATCTGAAATATCAGTCATGTCTAGCCGTCAGCTGTGTACGAGTGTAGGCTCAGGTTTATTCATGCATAATCCTTTATCGGTGCCAAGCATCTTTAAAGTATCATAATGGATATATTTACCTATCTATTTGAAAGACAGGTAATTAAAGAAGTTAAGTCAATTTCAACCAGGTAGGCCGTTTTTCTCATTATGTGTTGAACTAAAAACGGTACGCTGTACCTTAGTCCGTAATTGGCTGGAGCGGGTCACAAATGTCAGGAAAGTAGTGTTGCAATACTTTAGAGAAGAATTTATTTGGCCTTCTCTGCATTTTTGCCTCTTGTACTTGGTTACTTTTCTCTTTTTAATTAAGAGTTTAATTTAAAGAAGACAATTATACATTCAAGCTATAGTATGCAACATAAGGTACACATATAATTAACTGGACCTTTGTGGACATGGAGTGGTTCAGCATTTAGGTATATGGCTGTTTTCCAAAAGATTTACTTGAGACAAACAGTACAGTCGAATAGCTTACAGATTCATGGAGCTTGGAGGAATGGAAGGAGTGAATGGAGTTTGTATGGATGGGAGCATCTTGTTGCCCCTCGTGAGACAGTAGGTGTGAACAATGAAGAGTCTTCCTGAGGCCATGAAGCACAGTGTAAGCTCAGCAGGTGGAGTGGTAGGTACAGTGTAACCCATCTCCTCTCGGCCGGTTGGCTCCACAGCTACGCAGGGCCACCATCTCCAACCCAATCACTGGTGTTCTGGAGACTGCCCACTACAGGATCAGCAAGAGGTAAGGGCCTGCAGGAACAGAGGGATTAATGGAGGTGGAGCTGTATCTGAGCCTAGTGATGAAGCAAATGAAGCTTCATGAACTGTATTTTGAACTGAACTGAAGCTGTATTTTTTGACCCCACTAGATGGTGCTCTTGGCTTGCTTGCTTTGAGCCCTTTTCTGAACAGACAGCGCCATCTAGTGGAGTCAAAAAATACATCAAATGGTTCATAGGTATCATTTTGCCCATCATTAGCTGAGCCCCACCTCCTATCCCCAGAACTTTATTCTTCACTGCCTCCTCTTCCCATTCTTGGACTACATTTACTTACTTAGCAGATACTTAGGGTACCTGGACCAAGTGGGATTAAGGGTCTTGCTCAAGGGCCCAGTGGTGACCGCAGGATTTGAACTGGTGTCCTTCTGAATCCACAGAGTCATAAACCACATTGTACCACACTCCTCAGCAAAAGCACATCTCTGTCAAGGGGCCACCAAAATGAGCTCTGACATAGACTGCTCTCATGTCAAGCTTAACAGAATGTAACCTTCAAATTAAGGGCTAGGAAACATAATGGTCACATTTTGTTCATGGTAAGGACCTGTGTTTTTGCTTTATATGACACGATTGAAGGTCAACCCGTCTTTCTGTAATGATTTTACATTCACACTCTTTTTTTCCACTTTAGTTTCCTTCAGACTGATTGTCCATTAAAAGGATAGGGATCGGCTGTTTTGCTGTTAAGAGTGCGGTCCTGTGGTTTAGAGAGTGCTGTTGTCCGGGAGGCTCGCACTTTGGCTCTAGCCGATACATCACACCGCATGGAGTACCATGGAGTACCATGGAGTACCATGGAGTACCATGGAGTACCAAATCCACAGCTTCTAACCTGCTTTCTTCCTCGTTCTCTGTCCCTTCTTCTTTCTGTGTGGCCTTGGGAACTAGCTAAGGCGTGCTACTGTGCATGACCCTCAAACTGGGGAACTCACCACCGCCCAGTACAGAGTCTCCAAGAGGTAAGGGGTCAAAGGTCAGGGGACCCAGGAAGTTATCCTTCTTTGCTCACTGCCTGGCCTTTCCCCTGTCCCTTCTGGACCATCACTTAACACGGATTGAACTGGCCTTCAGACTGCCTGATCCTATGGTTTTCTGAATGCAACATTTTACTTACTAAATTAACTTTGCTCATCATTGCAGCTTAATACAACATGAAATCTGCCTCTGCATCTGATGAAATAGTTTTCTGCATTTATAAGGCTATCCGCTTACTGAATGGTAACTGAGTTGCAGTATTCATCAGTGAATCAGTCAATGAAACCCTTGAGCTTTGGGCTGCTGATATTTTTTTGCCTGTTTTCCCAGTCTGATGAAGTGCAATGATGGACAAAATGACGCCCCATGAACCATTTGCCGCATTTTTTGACCCCACCAGTTGGAAGTCTTGGTTTGCTTTCAGCCTTTTTTTGAACAGAGAGCACCATCTAGTGGAGTCAAAAAATACAGCAAATGGATCAACAAGCATCACTTAGTTCATCATCAATGTAGTGAAGCCTGAGTTTTCAGCCCTCTCTGTTCTCCTAGGTGTAATAATTAATTTGCTAAGATGTACTACTTTTTCGGCATGCGGACAGACTGAACAAGCTGCGACTCACGCTGTCAAAAGTGTCAAAAATGTAGTCTTGATTACATTACTACTTATTGCATGTCCAAAGAAAGTAAGCCATGGTCACTTATGCAATTTCACCATTGCTTGATACATCCACATATCTCCCTTTTCTGGGTAGTTGTCTTTTGTTCTGTCTGCAGACGAAAGATTGGCATTAAGTGCCCCCTTGTGGCAATATTAACTTAAAAATAAGTAATACGATTTGAGATCAACTCAAAATATGAACCTTTTAGGATTTAATATAACTCAGTATATTTCAGATTTATTGCAGCTTAATATGAATAACAGATACAAAAATGCAATTAAATTACAATACAGTATCTTATAAACTAACTCTGAAAAAAATGCTGGGTTTGGTTTTAGGAGAAAAAGTACTGGTTTTCCAATTAAATTATGTATTTTTAACATAGTTGCTATGGCAAATTTTTATTTTAGTTAGTTTAGTTTTTTGTGTGGGAGTTTTAAAATAAGCCTATGTTTTAGCACACCCAACCATGGAATTTGCTGTGGCTTTATTCAAGCAGGCCATTACTAAAACCGTCCTGCAGTCTGCATTTCTGGGTGTGGATTTTTGGTTAAAGTGGTTTATATGAAGATGTTTGTGGAGGTTGCATACGTGACTAGCTTTATACAGGTGATTGTGTTTTGTAGGCCCCAAAAATCTTTGCATTCATAGTGTGAGTTTTCAGATACTCAGGAGACGAAGGTCATCTGACATGATTTTAAGAAATAACAGTGTGTTTAGGATACACTTCCAGTTTGCTATGGGAACCATGTTCTCCTTTCAGCCTAATTATAGACATTATAAAATCATTCTAATTAAAGACTATATATATACACACACACACACACACACACACACACACACAGAGGTCAAGATTTAATGAAGGGATACAATTTGGCCTTGTAAATAGATTCATATTTTGATATTTACAAAAAGGAATTGTGATTAAAATAATAAATATCAGTCGATCAGTTTCATTTAGGCATCCCGTCATTGTATATGGTTTTGCATTATACAATAGTTCTGAGAGCCTGTGAAGACTTGTTAAAGAAAATGAAACTATGGGCACAGGGCAGGGAACCAACCCAAGCCATTGAAGTGCACATTCACACAACATTCAATACTGCAAGTCATTTTTTCATTATTTACTTTTTAGGGAGAATTATTCTTTGAAGTTAAAACATCCATAATACCCTCCTTAGTGGAGATTCTGTCTGGCCATTACTTACTTTACATACTCGCCCCTTCTCCTGATGCATGCTACTCTCGTGTTACTCTGTATAACCCATTAGCATGCGGTTTGTGTCATTGCTGTTGTCGCATTCTATCAGCAAATTTGATAGTTTTTTTGTGTGATACCTTCACAAATGTGTAACATTTAAACAATTTAAACAAACGTTGAGTCTTTGCAACAAAAGAGTAGAAGATACAACTGCACAAAAGACAGTTTAGCTTCTATGTTTAGCCTTAAACATTATGGTATTTGTACATACTGCCTGTGCTGAGTCATAGTGCCAGTTCTCCCCTGATGATGCCCTCACCCCCATTACCTGCTCCCCTCCTTCTATCCCAGTGCCTGGCTGACTGGCTATGAGGACCCAGTGATCACAAAGATTAACCAGCGAATTGAGGCCATCACAGGCCTTGATGTGGAAACTGCAGAGGAACTGCAGGTGAGGATCAAGGCCGGGGAGTTACAATGTCTCCCATGTGGCTTCACTAAGTAGCTCAAATACTGAATGAAGGAGGAGGCAAAAAACTTGCGGGGTGTTGAAATGTACAGATTGCGATATTTAATTGTAGACAAGACCGGAAATTATATATAAAAATAATTGTGGAACAATGTGGAAAAAATAGAAAGTTCTAAGAAAGCTGAAAATCTGTTTTCGTCTCTTCAGGTTGCAAATTATGGTGTTGGTGGGCAATATGAACCACACTTTGATTTTGGTCGGGTAAGTGAAGGAACTAAATAGTTATATTTTCTAAAAATTCAAACTCATTACAGTATGTTTTGTATTTCTGTGTCAGGTCAGGTCGTGTGTTTTTATGATCCAGAACAAAGATATACAGCGGTTGATTATTTTCTGCTTGTTTCCATAGAAAGATGAGCCAGATGCCTTTAAGGAGCTGGGGACTGGGAATCGCATCGCTACCTGGCTTTTTTATGCAAGTGCCTCCCCGAACCTATCGTGTAACACATCAATCACCTCCATCCATCTACAATCTCCATCCCAGACCGTCCTCTTCCATTTTCGCGATTCCCCACTTCATGTAAGGTGTAACCTCACTGATTGTGACATCATCGGTCTTTGCCCCTCCCCTCTCTCTATATAGATGAGCGACGTAATGGCTGGAGGCGCCACAGTCTTCCCCGATGTGGGGGCTGCAGTGTGGCCAAAGAAGGTAAACTCATCACGTGTCAAAAATAAAGGGAGACCCCCAACTGCAAGGCATCCTCAGTACTTATAAAAATAAGTCTAATAAAAAAAAATTATAAAATCTGATGCTGTTTAATAAAAAAAAACCATTGATGTTGTAGCTAGAATGAGCAGCCATTTTGCATGTTACAGGGTACCGCGGTATTCTGGTATAATCTGTTCGCCAGCGGGGAAGGAGACTACAGCACGCGACATGCAGCCTGTCCTGTGCTTGTAGGCAACAAATGGGGTAAGTTTGCTAGAGTATTATCATTTTGTTTGCATACATTAAACAGTATGCTGTTCTATATTATTGTATATAAAAGTGTATGTGTTACATTGTAATTGTACACGCCTACTGATTTCTGACTTCTCTTTTCTAGTATCCAATAAATGGATTCATGAGCGTGGCCAGGAGTTCAGACGACCATGTGGTCTAAGTGAAGCGGAATGATAAGCGATTCCTGAGGCGATTCCCACCCCTTCCTCACAGTACCCAGGACACTAGCTCCTTTTTTCCACTCCGCAGAGACATGATGTGAAGCTGCCTTCCCAAATTCCCTCCCTGTCTGCGAGCAGAATCAGCCCTCTGGTCCTTAGCCTATCCTGTCTACTCTTTTGCTGCTAAGAACTTTATAAATGTGGATTCTGCCTTGGCAGCCTCTTTGCATTTGGGGTTATGTTTGTCTACACTGATTTTTACCGGCTGCCTAAAAGACTACGTACGGTGGTGTGTATTGAGCCTTATTATCTTCCCAGTGATGCAGCACAATCTGGAGGAGAGACGATCACTTCCACTTGCATAAGGCCCAAATCCTGCCAACATTTTTCAGTCTTCCTATGCACCTCTCCCACAGATGGCCCTGCTTTCAAGGGCTTATAGGTTTTAGGACTCATGATGCAATGTTCTCCCAGGGAATAACACTGCAAATTATATAATAACATGCACAGTTTTTTTTTTTAACTTTGCTGTACAAATTCAAAGCTTGTTAGCACATTTTGAATTTCAGAGATTGATTAGAATACCAATACTTTTAATCCCCATGCAGAAATTCTCTCTATTTTTTTTTTTTGCCCCATCTTGTTCTCCGTACAGGTGAGAGCAAGCTTAGGGGTCACAGCAAGGGGGGGCAGCCTGGTGGTGCCCAGGGAGTTGGGGGTTACTGGCCTTGATTAGGGGCCCACAGACATGTGGCAATTCTGCCAAAGTTGGGCTCAAACAGACGGAGGCTTAGCTCACTGAGCAACTCATTGCCCCCCAAAGTAGTCTGTCAAAAACATTAAAACAGTTCTTTCAGAAAGTGTTTCTTTACTGGACCATTCAACTGACTATGTTGTAAAAATCTGCATATTTATGCATTTTTTAGCAATAATTCCAAAAGGATTTTTCATTGTGTTTCACTACTTTAGTTACCCACAAATCCAGTATTGTTACTTCTTAGTAAAAAGTCATGAAAAGTTATCAAAAGATTATCTGAAACACACCTTCCATTTCATATACCCATACTGATTTTGGGGCTCTTCATCATCTGGAATTTCCTGGGATCTCTGTGGGAGAAAGATTCTATTTATATATTGTGAGATTCTGTCATTTAATTTGTTTGCATATCGCTGGACATGTTAAATGAGTGTTTTCTATAAAATAAATAACATGTGCTCATGATGTGTTGTTTTTAAAGACTTGGGTCTAACATAATACTTAAAACGGATTACTAATTTCTTTTTCACTTAATGTTGCACATCGATGTGTAATATATGTCTGTAGTCCAGGTCTGTAATGACTAAATTACATTTAAACTATTGAGAAATATAATCCACCCCCCCCCCCCCCCCAAAAAAAAAAGGTATTGTTTTATTTCTTGCATATAGGGAGTGGTGTATGAACGGCCTAATAAGGAGTAGGGCCACCCATTGCCTGGAGAATCTGATGGGCACACGCCCTAATTTAAAAATAGCCCGCCTATAGGGTATACCAGCAAACCGCTTATCTAGTCTTCAAAGGGCACAATAATAACCTTCCTATACCGTCGATATACTGAACCTCGGGCTAAACACCTGTATTCCATCAACTAACCAAAACAAAGTGTTAAATCCCTGCACAATATGTTCTGTTAGCGCACCAGGTGAAACACTTAAACCGCTATTTACCTACTACAGGAGAAGGCGTCTCCTTTCACTATTGCCACTAGCAGGGGTGGAATGGCGGTCAGGAGAGTTAACCGGATATAATACGAGCATATCAAACACTGTACAGTAGGTTATGTAAAATCACAGGTTTAATTCGCAGCTTTAATTAATAATTCTTTCATCATTAGACTAAGTTTGAAAACGCACGCATGCGCGCAAATCAAGTTATACAAATGGAATGGCCTTTACCTGTACTTTTTAACCGTTACGGAGGAGAAGTCCAGTTGTTTAAAAAATAGATAGATTAATACAGTGTAGTGATTTCTAATTAATAGTAATATTTCAAAAGGCGGCCAACGTCATTCTCAAAGTTGGACAAAATTCAACGAAACTTTAACTTAAGTTAATCGGTGATTAGCCACTTGAAAAAACGACTCACTTGTGCAAATTGGTTGGACAGCAAAATGATACTATATAAAATATCAAGTTGTACTAATTCTTATTATAAGTAAGAATTACGATTCCTATACTGTATTTAATGCTGCCCCTTCGGTGGAGCGGGTGTCACGTGACATTTGGCTATGAATTGATTTTGCCGGCGGCTGCACGTTCATTCCGGTCAATGAGCCGTAGGAGGCAACGTTGGTGAAACAGCTGGTGTCTAAGAGAACTCAGCTTAAAACCTACCTAAGGTAATTAAACAACCGGCACAACGGAAAGTTTTTTGAATCATTCTTTTAGAGAGAACTGCACATAATGAACCGGATAACAGTAGAATACAGCAACGGATACGAGCAGGATGAATACATGATGCAAGAGGAAGAGTGGGACAGGGATCTCCTGTTGGACCCAGCTTGGGAGAAACAGCAGAGAAAGGTTAGTGATTGTGCATAGCAATCTAACGCCGGGGCACATAAGTTAGCTAAGGCAACGAAAACATTCAATTACGGACGTCTGTAAGTAATAGAATGAATTTGTACTGGACAGATGGACGGATGGACATCTGTAATATATATATCAGTATATATAGAAGATTGAAGTTCTTTCAACCTGAGCTCGACTTCTATTATTGTTATATTATATTATATTATATATTATATTATATAATATTAATAATATATTTACCTTACTAATATTATATTATATTATATATTATATTATATAATATTAATAATATATTTACCTTACTAGTGTACTTAAATAGCCTAGTGTAATCCATTTGACTGCTTATCCAGCTCAGGGTCGCGGTCGTAATATAGCAATCTTGCAGTTATGTACATTAGAGCTGCCAAGCATTAGTTAATACTTGAAAAAAAATCATGTTTGTGAACAGACGGCGCAGTGATGCGGTGGGTACCGCTAACAATAGCCCAGCCAGCGGCTCTGCAGGCTTTCACCAGCCCATTGATACGCGTGGTATGCGAAGTGTCAACAGATATTTCTAACACTTGATGACGCCCCTCGGATTAGAATGGACACAATTTCTAATTTTAACTACGGACAAGGGCATTATAATGAGTAAATCCAATGTCATTTTTAAGAAATTCTTTGTTTATAGTAACAAATATACTGTGATGTCTACTTATCTAGGATGTTGACATCTTATAACACGATTTGCAAATAACTTCATGCACGAAAAGCAACCCTTACTACGCAATACTGACAGTGATCAACCGAAACAAAACAAATGATAACCAACAAGAATCGCAAAAACAAAACAGTGGTCACCTACATTTTTACACTGCCATGTCAATTTATATGTATGAGATAATACTTAAATCTTAAAACCATATGTGCATAACTTTTATACAACCTCATCCATCTGTCAAATGAAAGGCATTCCATTGTGGCCTAAGTGAGAATTCCATATCTGCATCTAAGAAACCCATGGGGGATAATGACAATAGGAATGAAGATGTCACTCAGCTAAGAATAGACTGCTCACTTGTCCTTTCTTAGAAACAAGATCAGGATGCATTCATTATAATTTATCCCTTAGTCCCTGAATAAGGGTATTGTGAAGCGTGTAACAGTTATAGCATTCTGAAATAAAGGATGCATTATTATTATTATTATTATTATTATTATTATTATTATTAGTAGTAGTAGTAGTAGTAGTAGTAGTAGTAATAAAAGTCTCATGAAATATAATGTGAAATATTGTTTTATTTTTGTATTGAACCCCCAAGAATGAAGAATGAAAAATTAATGATTTTAAATCATAATTTTCTCAATTGCTGATTACACATTATATGACATGCATTTGTATATAATATGTATACTTAATATGCTTGTCCAAACTATTGCAACTGTACAAAAGTTTGTAACTTTTATACAGATTACCACACAAACACACACACACACACTCAGGTTTATAGTTTATAATTATATCTTTGTGGGGACTCTCCGTTCATCTATATGGGGAAAACTAATCCCAACATGACAACCTTAATCCCTATCCAGCCCTAACCTTAACCATGAGTAACCAAACATAATAAGAGACTTTTGGGATTTTTAGTTCTTTGACTGCATATCTGCATATCACAGATCTTTGTAGGGACCCACAATGTCAAAAAAATAGTTTTTAATTACATTGTGGGGGTTCACTTGGTATTAAAGTGTTAAATAAGTGCCGTCGGATGCATTTTTTCTTCTGCCACAGACTTTTACAGCGTGGTGCAACTCGCATCTGAGGAAAGCAGGAACGCAAATCGAGAACATTGAAGAAGACTTCCGGAATGGCCTCAAACTCATGCTTCTTTTGGAAGTTATTTCAGGTTCTGTACTTAACTGGAATACTAACAGATAAGCAGTCAATTAAAGTAGCAGATAAAAATATCCCCACAAATGAAGCATTAAGACAGCTGCTTAAAGATTTTACCAGTCGTACTGGGAGCACTGAATTTCTTGTCTGCCTCATTTATTTATAAGAATTGCCAGTTTTGCTTAAATGAAAGCACAACCATAACATATCCTACCCTAGTACATAGTGTAAATGGCACCATGCTGAACAGCACATTGTAGAAGTGTACACCCAGTTGGCCTGCTTCCTGCCACATGACTCTGAGGTACTGATAAAACAATCACACTAGATAACATTGCCTGCTTTTGTCACTCCAAACGGATCCCTGCTAATTATGAACTGCTGTTGACTGTTGACACAATGGCATATTCCATAAACCATAGACGACCCTGCAGAGTCCAGCAAATTCCTATACTGGTTGAGATGCTTAGAACCACTGGACCCCATCTATTAGGATTCCATCCCTTTTTAAAGAGAAAATGTAGCTTAGAGTCTTAACGTCTTACAGATTTTTTTTGTTGTCTTTTCAGCTCATTGGCATTCTGTCACCTCAGTCCATTGTCAACATCTCATAATTATATTAATACCAGCATGTTTATTTGGTCAATAAAGAATGACCAAATAATATAAAGAATGATAACAAAGACAATACAAGTATGTCTTTGTCAGAGATTTTATTCAGTATAATTTTATTAACTACAACCCTTCCGTTTGATTTCTATTACAGGTGAAAGGCTACCAAAACCAGACAGAGGAAAAATGCGTTTTCACAAAATAGCTAATGTCAATAAAGCACTGGATTTTATTATTAGCAAAGGGGTCAAACTTGTTTCCATTGGACCCGAAGGTACAATTTTTGCTATTAACAACACTACTGCACTATTACAAACTGAGTCCTAGAGACATTAACTGGACTAACAAAGATCTAAATCTATTACAATTTATTTTTCTACCAAATGGGTTAAATTGAAATCCTCAATCAAATATTATTGACTTACAAATAGATCAAAATCATATTTTCCAAATACAAAACTACCAAATACAATACAAACATGAAGACACAGCATAGCACAACAGTAGAATATTGATTCTTTACAATTTATTTTTCAGAAATTGTGGATGGCAATATCAAGATGACTCTGGGTATGATTTGGACCATTATCCTGCGTTTTGCTATTCACGACATTTCAGTTGAAGGTAAGAGGGATATTAGGTCTATATTGAATATTTTGGTACATATTTTATTGGACACTTTTTTTTTTACTAGACTGCTGCTTTTAAGTTGCTGTACTTAAGTACAAAGTATTTATTTTTTCACTCTGCCGTCATAAATTTTTCCCAAGATAATAAAATATTTTCAAGAGGAACGATAAGTATTATCAGGTCGACATTTTTCCAAACAGCTCTACGTTGAATGTAGTGTAAAACACTATTGTTTCTGGTTTCAGTTGATGAAATAAAAATGACTATATCTGACAATCCATAACAGTAGTATGAGTTTAAAGTTCTCACTAGCCTAATATAATGTAGGCTGCATTTGTCTATTGTCATGTGAATGGAATACAATAGGCCATTTAATTTGCAGATACAGTGGGACCTTGAAACATGAATGTTCGAGAAGGCTGGTCGAGTTGCGATTTGGTCGAGTTCCAAATCGAATTTCCCCATACGAAATAATGCAAATGAATTGAATCCGTTCAAGACCCCAATGATTGCCTATTTAAACTTATCTATACCTACCTAACTAATGATACAAATCATTAACAATCAATCTAAAATAAATGCACACATGAAAAAGCACACATACAAAAGTGATAAACTTGAAATAAATGACAATCTCACACTCCGATTGAGAGTAAACACATGTGCACCACCTTCAAGTCTCGCTATAATTTCCTTTTTAAGTTTTGGAGTTACTCTCACTATTTTCTTCTTTGGTTTGCTGCCATCACTGCTCTCTTTCATGAGGGCCATGATTACTGTATCACTTAATGTACTGTAGATAAAGCACAAAAATTTCACAGAAACACAGAAACACTGCTTTCACCCGTCAAAATCGGTCGAGAGGTACCGCAAAACTGAGAGTGATTCATAGGCATCAGAATCCCAGTAGGTCCGTCTGCCTTTGTTTCAACCCATCAGAGATGCATCTCGATCTGTACAAGTTTTAGCAAGTGTTTTGTTTTGTCTTGTTTCGAGTTTTCGGTCGAGTTGCAGTTATAATCTTTCTCGACCACCCCATTCGAGGTCCGAATTGGTACAGTTGAACCCGTCTCGACCCATTCAAATTTTAGCAGGAACGGTTGAGTTCCAAGATTTCGGTCGAGGTACAAGTTGAAAAAAATTTGACAGACCCGTTCGATGTCCGAGTTGGACGAGTTAAGAGGTGTTCAAGTTCCAAGGTTCTGTTGTACAGTTATAATGTCTGGGTGTGACACAGAGGTTCAGTGGGCACTGCAATCCTGCAGACCATTCAAAGAAAATGGATTCATAGATCAAAATATTACAAACTTTTCAGAAACTTCTGCAAAGGAAGGTCTTCTCTTGTGGTGTCAGAGAAAAACTGCCCCCTACAGGAATGTCAATGTCCAGAATTTCCATGTCAGGTAAGTCCTGCGGTGGTAACAATACAGGAGCAACAAATTGAAAATATGTTACTTTTGTTGGATTATAATAATACTTTTCAGTTTTATTTTCATTAGATAGGGTTAGAGGAGTGTGACTCCTTAACTTTAATGAATTAAATAATAAAACCAGTGACACCAGTGGCAAAGTATGTAATTATATACATTTTAAATAAGAAATTATAATAATACATTAATAAATTATATCATAAACATCTCCAGTGGGTCTTATAAATCTCACCAGAATTGCCTAGTAAACGCTTCAACTGAACGTGTTGAACTCAGATTAAGTCCTTTTTTTGCACAGAGAGCACCATCTAGTGGGGTCAGAAAGTACAGCAAATGGTTCATGAAATGGCATTTGGCCACCCTTATGCGGGAGTAGTGAGCCACAGCCACCATGCACACAGCAGAAATACAACAGATTTCACACAGTGCATTTATAGCTGAAAATGACACAAATACTGTACAAATGCGATTCTGCGCTGAGTTGGACTTGGGTATTAATATATCAATCGCAGTGTGATATCAGGACTGACTGTATATGACTTTTTTGAATTTCTTTTTTAAAGTTTTTCCTTATCAATAATCTTAAAAATGTTCTTCCCTTGTTCTGTAAAGTTGGAAGGACGGTCTGTCGTTCTGTGCACTGATACACAGGCATCGGCCTGACCTCATAGACTACGCCAAGCTCAACAAGGTCATCTGTAGTGTTCTCAACAGCATGCTAGTCCTAACCTGCACTGCATGAGAGTGGAACCCTACAGCTACTCCCCTAGACTTATTATTGTTTGTTTATGAAACTCCGGACCCCAGCATTGACCAATAGGGATAATCTGTGTGGGGGTTGTATATTTAATTCACCTGTTGACTCTGCTGCTGTTGTGAGAGCTTGTACAAGGAAAAAGTCTGTTTCTAGTTAGTTGGTCGGTCCTTTCATGTCCACATCCCGCAGGTACAAGTAATATGACAGATGCCTACATACGTTTTCTCTTAGATCATCACACATGACCCCAAGAAAATGAACATTCTCATTAGGTTGTTAATTTTGTTTTGTATTTGAATACCAACATAACAATCTCAGGCACAGAGAAATGGATTCCTTTGATATTATAGCATGAGTGTTTGTGGTACTTATTGAATCATTTGCTTTAAATGAATTTGGTATTCAGCAGAACACATAACAGCTTTCAGAAATAAAATGTCCTTTTTATTTCAATTATTTTATGGTTTTATTTACATTGCACTGCAAATATATTTGTAATCATTTTATATAATAATTGGAGCTGATTTTGCATTTATTAAATTCTTCTTCTCTTTATTTACCACAGGATGATCCTCTTGGTAATCTGAACCTAGCCTTTGAAATTGCAGAAAAGCACCTGGACATTCCTAAAATGTTGGATGCTGAAGGTAATTCACTTTTTGAAAGACTTATTAGGAAGTTATGTGATTTGGAAAACCCTCAGCACAAAAAAGTTCATACTTTAAGGAACGTTCAATGCTGTTCTACTTTCTTTTGCACAACCAAATTTGACAATTCAAGCCAATGGTGGAGACATGTACAACTGGTAAATTTTGTTTAAAAAGTTTTTATTTAATTTAACTATTGGTAACCGTGAATTACCTTTAAATGGATCTGGCACTTAATTTGATAGTGGGTGTTCGAATACTGAGTTACTAAGCTGACACATCAGATATAACCCATTTGTAAAGCTTGGTATTTTACTTGAATGGTTTATGTTAATATCTTGCTCAGGTTTAATACATCAGGGCTTTTTAGGCTTTGTAATCAAAGCATACTGTACATTTAAGCAAATTCAGTTTATGTATATAATTATTTCATTGAAGAGATAAGGGGCTTAAAGTTTAAAGTTATTAGGATTTAGAATAAGTGCTTTTAAGAATCATCTCAGTCCTTTATTTTCCTTCATACCGCCCCTCTCCTGCTCTCATTTATGGCTTTCTGCATTGTTTGCGCTCATCTTTATTTTCATTTATTTTACCTGTTGTCTTCTCTCTGGGTTCCACTTCTAACACACCATTAGATATTGTAAACACCCCAAAACCAGATGAGAGAGCCATCATGACCTATGTGTCCTGCTTCTACCATGCTTTTGCTGGAGCAGAACAGGTATACGTTTCATATTTTTGCATATGATTTTGCGTATATGTTCATTTTTAATTGCATTTACTTTACTTCTCATTACTGGTTGCTGGACAGTGCCAATTCTTAAAAAATTAAGACATAAGAATCACCTTTCCTGTTTCGCATTATTGATACTTGCTCTCGCAGGCGGAGACTGCAGCTAACAGGATCTGCAAAATTCTGGGTGTAAACCAGGAGAACGAGCAGCTGATGGAGGAATACGAGAAGTTAGCCAGTGAGGTACAGATCCACCCATGAATATATGACCAGTCATTTGGGAGTAATACTTATTTTGCTCAAATTGAAATTATAACACAGAAGTAAAATAGAATTATATATAGCACGGCCCAAAAAAAATTAATAAGTACATAAAGTTACTTGAATCATCAAAAAAACATGTTGTTTGGGGATTATTGGGTTTATTTTTAGTTTGGCAAACACTTATATCTACGACAACATTCAATTTTATCCATTTACTCAGCTGAATATTTAATAAAGCTATTTGTGGTAACTGCATTCGGGACGTAACAATAGGGATGCCTCTCTATCATAAAATGTCATAAATAGCCATGCTTCTTGTGCTATTTTTAAGCTTCTTGAATGGATACGTCGTACCACTCCATGGCTGGAGAACCGTACCTCAGAGAAGACAATGGCAGCCATGCAGGCCAAGCTGGAGGACTTCCGGGACTACCGACGCCTACACAAGCCACCCAAGGTTCAGGAGAAATGCCAGCTGGAGATTAACTTCAATACACTGCAGACCAAGCTCCGCATCAGCAACCGGCCCTCCTTCATGCCTTCGGACGGGAAGATGGTGTCGGTAAGTTCAAGATTCAGCATTCAAGAGATGGTCATTGTCAGCCCGTCAATATACTGTACATGTAACTGTCCAGGATGAAATATGAGACACATTGTGCTGCATTCGCATGTTTATTAAATAATACTATGATGTTCTAAGAAGAAACAGATGTAGATATTTATCATGTCACAACCAATCAGATTGTACAAGAGGTGGGTCCAAGCAACTAGAGGAGGCGGAACAAATCAGATTGGGTTTTCTCTGAGCCAATCATTTTTTGTTCTGCCTTCAGAACTTTTTTGTGCATCTCCCACAAACACTCACAATAGCAGCAGAGCCAAAAGGTGAATTAAGTATACAACCCCCAAATAGACACGGGCACACTGACTGGACAATATACTTCACATATTACATTTACACAGTGACTAAACAACATGCTACATACTTCACAACATAAAGTGCTTGATGTTACCTAAATGCAAACTGAATAAAAAGTGCAGTATTGTCCTGATGCAAAACAGTTTTGTTTTGAAGTGTCCATGTGTAGGGGTGGGGTGATGTACTGTAGCGGTATGAGGAGATACCGTGCTAGTATAACCTGACATGATCACATTCCTCACTGAGGGACAGATTCCCACTAATGGGGTTTTAAGATGTGAGAACTTCTCTGGGTGGGATGGGGAAAGTCAAGTTAAATTAGGACTGTTTTCTCAGCATTAAACAGGGGTGAAGCATCGTTAGCAATGAGAAAAAAATGAATGGAAATATTAGACGATAATCTAGGTTCATGAATTAGGACCAAAAGACAAGCCTAAGAAGTTGACATGAGGGAACAGACTTGTAGATGGATGATACAATTTTTAGGCCAATCCTGAAATTTATAATTGGATTGTCAGGGTCTAAGCAAACTATAATGTATGTATACATTTTTGCAAGACTCAAGGCAAGATGAAACTTAATACAAATAACTCCAGTCACATGACTTCACCCAGTTTGAGAAGCCCCAGGCAATGATTCTCACTGTTGGTAAACAGTGAGAAACACTATAGAGGAAAATCTGCAGACAGAATTTTGAGCAGTCAGTTTGAACAGATAGTATTTGAAAGAATATTTCCCCTGCTTTCGTTCCATACATGGTAGTGGGGGACTTTGTTATGGGGTTTAGCACAGTAGTTTTGAATTGTATTAACCTTAAGACTTGTTTGCTGCTGTGGGGTTTGTTAGGACATCGCAGGTGCCTGGCAGGGACTGGAGCAGGCTGAGAAGGGCTACGAGGAGTGGCTCCTGAATGAGATTCGCAGGCTGGAACGTCTGGAGCACCTGGCTGAGAAATTCCGCCAGAAAGCCTCCACCCATGAGAACTGGGCTCATGGTAAGTTTGCTTTTGGATTGGTAGTGTGTGGCTCAGCAGGCTAGGCTGATGTTCCTTATCGGAAGGTTGCTGGTTCAAATCCCAGTGTTGGCAGAGTGGTTTCACCATGGAACTCTTCAGTGAGGCCCTTAACTGACAATTACTCCAGGGTCTGTTTGACCCTGCTTTCTCAAAAATGTATGGTGTTTTCAATAAAAGTATCTGTTAAGTTAATAGGACCTGTAGAGAGTTTTAGCATATAATAAGGAGAGTTTCTGATGTGTGCTAGTATAAGGTTGAGTATAAACAGTGTTGTGGAATAAGTTCTGTGTTTGGTTCTTGAGATTTATGCAAAAACTCAACTTCATGTTTTGAATGATACAGGTAAGGAGCATATTTTGTCCGAGAAGGACTATGAGTCAGCATCCCTAATGGACGTCCGTGCCTTACTAAAGAAACACGAGGCCTTTGAGAGTGACCTGGCAGCCCATCAAGATCGAGTGGAGCAGATTGCAGCCCTTGCACAGGAGCTAAAGTACATCATTCATGTTCCTTGTCCTTCGCAACATGGGATCTCATTTGGTCACATTGCTTGTACTCATATATGGAGTATTTTTATATTACCACATTTTCTTACTGATCTTGCATAGGAGATGTGAGGAAGGAGACCGGTGCATCTTCTAATAGAAACAAACTGTATAAACTTTAAAGATTATGAAAGACTATGATTATTTTACCTCAGGTATGTTTTGGAGTAAAGAATAGTTCCCGGTCCGGGTGTTTGAACTCAAAGAATGTGAGACCTTTCGTGCCTGACTCCTTCAGTCTGTATGCAGTCAGTAATTATCTGTCCTAAAGTCAGACCATAGATAAGTGAGCTTCAATTATAAGTTATTTGTCTTTGGAGGAAATAAGACATCTTACAATTCAGATTTTTTTAAATTTATTTTTATTTTTAATTTCACAGCATGTCCCCTTTAGTGTATAACAGGAATAAATATGTTTCCTTACATCAGTGACAAGATAGATGCAAAAACAACATGCCCAATACAATGGACATAAATGAATGGGTGGGGTCTCAGGAGGATACGACATGATTGGTACTTTTTGTTATATTGAAGAACTCTAAAATGTTGTGATAAAATATTTTGTGCTAAATATCACCATGGATGCAATTTGAAATTAAATATAAATGGAGAATATGAAGAAGTAAGTTTAGAAGCTTAGAAGCAGCGGTGTATATATCTCTAATGTCTGGTTTCTTCAGCGAGCTGGACTACCATGCTGTAGCTGCAGTGAATGAGAGGTGCCAGAAGATATGTGATCTGTGGGATCAGCTGGGGACCCTGACCCAGAAACGCAGGGAGGCACTCGAGGTAAGGGAAGGGTTGAAATGTAATTTCCAGTCAACTGGAAAAGTGGGTGGTACGTCACCAGGCAAGGATTCTAGAATCTTCTGGTCTGTACCGGGCTATTGAGTATGTAACTCCAGGAGATACGTATTGTCTTTAAAAAGAAACAGGTGTGCTGACATTGATCACAGGATGGCAATCACACCGCTGCCAAATAAACAAGTAATAGTTTGTTTTTTTGGTTATCCATAGGTATCAACAATTTTCATATATTATACAGAAAAGTGGGAAAATGAAGAATCCACTAACTTAATCTCAGAGTTATTAGTTAACTATCGATGAGAAAAATGGTCTGGCAGTCATGACCTGCGCGTCCAGTCCGTGTCTGTGCCACGCCCACCTCGTTGCCCGCGTGTGAATTCCCATCGTTACCAGCTGTCTTGCGTTTGTTCTGATGTCATGTTCTGTATTTAGTCCGCGTTCAAGTCTGTTTCCCCAGGTCTGTCATTGACGTTGTCGACTATGTGCTCCCTTGTCTGCCTGCTTGCCCAAATAAACCCCTTTGTTTTGGATTTCGGTCTCCCATATCCTGATTCCTCGACTGATCGTGACACTGGCATCTCTGTGTTATCTTTCCAGAAGAAGTATGGCTGTTGAATTCCCAACAATGTGTATGATTTAGTAGCTGTAGTGTGATATATTGATTTTGAAAGTTGTTTGCATTCTTTTTCTTCAGTAAATACATGCCGTATTAGTAAGTCTGATATGACTGACCAAAATTTCTTGGGCTATTTTGGATTCCAGAGGACTGACAAACTGCTGGAAACTATTGATCAGCTTTTCCTGGAATACGCTAAGAGGTCAGCACTGTTCAACAACTGGATGGAGAGTGCGATGGAGGATCTACAGGACATGTTCATTGTGCACAGCATTGAGGAGGTTCAGGTATGCTCAGCATTAATGAGTTTAGAACTGACAACATTATGTATTTGTTCAGTGGTCAAGGCAGAGCTTAAACTTATTAGTTCTGTATAGCCCACTGACATGGAATTGTGGTTGTATGTCTTTGTGTACAAGGCTGCAGATTTTCTTGTATTTAATCCAAATATTACTGGTCCTATATTGTGATTATTTTTTCTTGCCCTAGAATCTGGTTTCGGCTCATGAGCAGTTCAAGGCCACCCTGCCAATGGCGGACAGCGAGAGGCAGGCCATCTTTGGGATCCACAACGAGGTGCAGAAGATTACCCAGAGCTATGGCCTCAGAGGCAGCCTGACCAACCCTTACAGCACCATCAGCCCGGAGGAGATCCATGCCAAGTGGGACAAGGTAGCATCGGCAATTCTTGCAATTCCAAGAACCTTTAGTGCTTTAGGATGTCATTTTAAAATGTATTGAGCAAAATCTAGTAATACATTATTTGTTCACTATAAAACATATTAGTGAGAGTTTGTTAATTTGACAAAAATGCTTTGCTTTTTTACAGTAATACCTGTAATAACTTAATTCAAACAATAATACTTAAATTTAACAGACATTTCATAGATAGTTTTACACTTTTCCCATTAATATTTTCAAAGTACATAATGTTAAAGATGCTTTTCTTAAGGCTACGGCAGCCTATTTTGGCAGTCTAACTACCAGGATTTAGGTCACAACTCCACGACTGTGTAACCCACCCTGTGTGTGTTAATGTGAGCAGGTGAAGCAGTTGGTCCCCCAGCGAGACAGTTCCCTCCAAGAGGAGCTAAGTCGCCAGCACTCAAACGAACGCCTCAGGCGCCAGTTTGCCTCCCAGGCCAACCTCATCGGGCCCTGGATACAGACAAGAATGGAGGTCTGAGATTGGCCATCGGTTTCCTTTAATTAAAAACTACCTAGAATCCATGTTAAATCAGTGTCATAACTCTGTCTTTGGGGTTAAGACTAAGCCATGTATCATGAGGAAGAAATTTAGAACATTGTTCTGGGACACTAATAGATTTCACTACTGATGGTGAATGTGAGTAGAAATTGCTTGATTCCTTTGGCAGGAAATTGGACATTGTTCTGTTTCGTTGAACGGGACCCTTGAGGATCAGATGATTCAGCTGAAGCAGTATGAGGACGTCATTGTCAACTATAAACACAATATCGACCATCTGGAGGGCGACCACCAGCTCATACAAGAATCGCTTATCTTTGATAACAAGCACACCAACTACACTATGGAGGTGCTGCATAGATCTATTACACATTTCTTAAAACACAAGGATACTTTGAAAGCGAGATTAGTTACATCTGTTCAGATCACTAATTGATCATGAAACTGTACATAATATGTTTGCAAATGATTTTTAAAAATGTTACAATTTCGTCTTTTATGTACTGCATATATTTTAGCCCTAAAATATGGAATTGCTCTACAGTATAGTTATAGATTTGATTTTGTTCAAAGCTTGCAGCTTCATCTGACAAATTTCCCTGTATGGATGACAGCACATCCGTGTTGGCTGGGAGTTTCTGCTGACCACTATTGCCCGGACGATCAATGAAGTCGAAACTCAGATTCTGACCCGAGACGCCAAGGGCATCAGCCAGAAGCAGATGAATGAGTTCCGCTCGTCCTTTAACCACTTTGACAGGGTAGGGTACCACTGCTGCTCAGATATCGCTGGTCCATTTAGGCCTCGTGTTTCAGAATGTTACCTTTTTCTTGTTTAATTAATGATTATATCAACAGTATGTTACGTAATACGTGTCACTTTTTCAATGTTAATACAAACTTGCCTGTGTATTTAAAACCAAAATTCCACAATTTCTATTTACGTCAACGTTCATGTAAACATAGTTGAGGAATCCTTCTTCCTCTAACCTTGGCATACGATTCTCCTTTAACGTCCTTTGAAACCTGCTCTTGATCTTCCTGAAACCTCTCTTCCTGATTCCACTTATCTCCAATGACCTGCCAACCCCACAGAAGAAGAAAGGAGCGATGGAAACAGATGACTTCAGAGCGTGCTTGATTTCCATGGGATACGACTTGGTAGGCACACTGGTGTACCAATGCACACATTTGTAATCTCTTGAAAAGGCTATCAAGGAAAATATGGATTTACAATATTAAGGAAACTTGGAATGCATGGTGAGCAGCCAGTAGGGCTTGGAATATTCAGTTATACTGGTAGAAATTAAATGTATGCATTCAAGTAGGATGGATGTATTTAAGAGCAAATGACTTTCTTTATAGAAAAAAGATACAACCCCTACAAATATCAGTGTATGCAGCTTGTGAGATGTTGGTCATGAGCAAAATCAGCATGATAATGCATCATGATGTTGTGTGTTTCACATAACGTAAGTGACAAGTGTATGTAATATGACTTCATTCTAGCAGATGTTTTATTTCCTAGAACTATTTTCATGAGCAATCATGTAGAAGAACACAATCTGATTGTCTTTACACTGAGCCTGTTCCATCTATGCAATGCTGAATGCAGGGTGAGGTGGAATTTGCCCGCACCATGACGATGGTGGACCCCAACGCTATCGGGGTGGTGTCTTTCCAGTCCTTCATTGACTTCATGACCAGAGAGACCGCTGAGACGGATACAGCAGAGCAGGTCATTGCCTCATTCAGGATCCTGGCAAGTGATAAGGTGGGCTACACTACACTCCACTCCACTAGGGGGCAGCACAGGCTAAAGGGGTGACTACCAAACAGAGCTACAATCTATATCCCGCTACTTGGTAATCATCCCACCTTCTACATGCTTTTAGGATTTTGAGCAAGAGGACAGTGTGTTAATGGGAATGTAAACTAATAATAATTTTTTTAACCAAAGCTTAAAGTACATTTGAGGTGAAATTATAAGACTTTAATTTGCTCCTTTACTTTTTGTAGAATATGTTGCAGTAATGGTATAAAAGAGTGGCAATGCTGTTAACAGAAGAGATACTATCTGTAGAACATGTTTCAAATAAATTAGTCAAATATGAATAATTCCTGAATCCAGTTTAAAAATGTGAATTTGTGTGCCCTGCAATGGACCTGCAATGCATATTTTTTTAAATGTTTTCCACCAGCTTGAGGCCTGTACTGCCTGCAATAAGTCTCAGCACCCTGCCCTTATGCTGGATTAGTAGTTAGAAGATTAGATGGATGGTTGGATGGATGGATGGTTACCAAAGACTTATGTAAGACTCTCTTGTGTCCACAGCCATACATCCTGGAAGAGGAGCTGAGGAGGGAGCTGCCCCCAGAACAGGCAGAATACTGCATCATGAGGATGCCCCCCTATCGCGGGCCTGGGGCAGCACAAGGGGCCCTGGACTTCTCCTCCTTCTCCACTGCGCTGTACGGAGAGAGTGATCTTTAAGGTTGCATGCAGGTCCTTGGATGAGATTTCTTATCCACACACATAAATCATACAAGTTTTCCAAAGTAAAACAGCTTAGTGATTTATAGCACAGTACAAAAGATAGGTTCTACATATTTGCGGAGTGTGGCATAATTGTTAGTCTTTATGAAAGTAACATGAATTATCTGTTTTGGCTACTTCAAGCAGAATCAGTTAAATGACTTTGATCTTCAATGCACTTTTCTCTAGTATATATACTAACAGACAAATCTTACAATTAACTAAGAAAATGTTGCACCACATAGAGAACTGAGGTTGTATGACATGTCCAATGAATTTTAATCACTGCATTCTTAAGACAAAAAATATTGGTGACCATAGACATATAAAAACAGCACAGTTTGGTTTTCATTAAAGGATTTCGTTAGTGAATAAATTCTTTTGGGTTATTTAGGACAATGGGATTGAAATAGCCAATAATTTGTTATTCTTAAAAGGTATAATAAAAATTATACCTACCAAAAATCTGGAAAATCAGAACCCCTGCTTCAGAAATGCTATGAAACCAATTTCTTTGTTGGACTCATTTCACCTGGTTACAACTTAATAAAAAATATAATGACAACTGATGTTCCTGATTTCTCTTTCACTGAAAGTCTTTCACAGTTCAGTAAGTGCAAATGTTTATACCCACAGTTACTGGAAAAATTAATCGGTCTACTACATTTGCTAACTAAAGATCAGGGTCAACTTGGTATTCTGTGTTCGGCATCAAAATCGGAAACATGCTGAAAAAATGGAAAATTTATTTGTATTTTTGTTTAAGTAAGCTAGTAAATTTTAAAGCTTACATGACTGGTTGTAAAAGTGAATATACAGATTAACTGCAGTGGGAGGTAATTGTGAAGTTAGTAGGAGAGTACACCTGTGATAGTAAAAGCTTGTGGTGAAAAACTTGAAAATATCTAGGACATTTTTTTTTTTGCCATTGTCTCTACCGAAAAAACAATACACTGGTCACATTAGCTGGTTTGGGCTTTAAGGTTCCATCTTCCAAGGACTCTTTCTGTCTAGTCTCTTTCAATTCATTTAACTTATGCTTTTTGAATAAAAATCTAACTTTGCACTAATCATTTTGAGATTCTGCCTTTCTGTGAAGTGTTTTTTTAAACCTACCATGATTTGGCCACCAGGTGCCGCCACTGAACAGATAACGAACCAGCTATAGGTTTACACCTGGATTTCATAATGAATGACAATATTTTGAACAGTAGAGTGATTGGACAAAGTCCACCAGAGTATGCTATAGTTGATCTACCTAATGCTTGATGCTGACAGGGGCATAAAAATGTAGCACTGTCCATGAATGAATGGCAGTTGGGTGATTTCCTTTCCTTACATTTCCATTCATCCTTTTCAAATGCACAACCCCTCATCCAGGACAGGCGAGCCTGGCCCAAGAAACAGAGGGCGCATGGCAGTGGAATGCCCCGGAAAGTATGCTAATCCATCACAGTGCGCACATTCACCACATGCAATTTACAAACAGCAATTCTCCTAACCACGTTTTGTCAGAAAAACAAACCTGCGTGAACGAGATCTAGGGAAAATGCAAACATACGCAAAGCCAGGTCAGGAATTCAATCTAAGAGCTGAAGGCGTGTGCAACCCACTGAGCCAAGGTACCAACAACTTTTAAAATTCACCATATGGACAAAAGTATTGGGACACCTGGCCATTACACCTACAGGAACTTTTACATCCCATTCTAAACTCATAGGCATCAATTTGCAATTGCTCATAGGCTTTCCTATGTCTGTAGGGTTTTTCTCCTTTTCATCTGATGGATATGATTATTTGTATGAATGAGAATGTACAGTATACACTGTTATCTCAGCCTCTGACCTATCATCTAGGTTCTTTCTAACCAGCAGCATCATTTCATGTATTAGCTTGATGAATAAAAATGCCACAACGTCAAGTGAAATCAGTCCTGGCCGTGGCTGTACTGTAATACTAAAGATTCTATATAATGGAGCTGTAATAAAAGGATGACATTAAGGGGAAACAGGACACAGTTACAGCTAACATGCAGTCAGTCTATGAGTCCCAGATAATTAACAGTCAGAATGCAATTACACTGAATGGGGAAACAGGCTAGGGGATAGTTTTAATTGCATAGTTAAAAATTTAACAGGGTCAATTCAATCAGGTCAAAGCCAATTAAAAACAGTAACTGCACCTTACAGTTAAGTCTGTAGAAGTAGTGGTTTATAGGTACGATTTATATATTTTTAAAGTTGAACTGTGTGAAAGTTTTAATTTAATGGTCTGGTTATTTGTAGTCATGTGATAATATTTACACAGTTCAGATCACCTTTTAGATTACCACCAATTGATTGCATAGGTATGCAGACAATTAAAATGCTCTGAGTGTTAGCTAACGCACAACTTGTTTAACTCCCATTAGACTTGAAGGTGATTTGTCGTAAAATTGTCAGTTAGAGGCGGTAATACCCAATTATTCCTATAGCTGTAAGAGATGGGGAGTGACTTCAAGAGCCTCAAATCCAACTGGGATACAATTATGTGCTTACAATCTATGCCTTCATTAACTCATGGACAACACAAGGGAAGTAGGAGGTAGTGTGGCTACAAACCGGACGCTCAGAAGCCTCACACGCTAACCAACACCAAGATATTATGTTTCATTTCTCAGCCATTTTTTATACCCATTTGTTTTCCAGGCTGGAGTTCAAGGTGAGATTTGGCTCCTTACCTTGTAATTTAGCTGAACCTATGCAGGTTGCCAGGATATGACTAGGGGGACCACAGCCATTCCGCCAGACATGCTGCCAGATGGCCTTTATCAGAGCCATACGCGACACATCGCTAGGGGCTGCTAGGGAAGGTGACCTCCTGTTCTTGGTCACATCATATTCTTCTCACATTCAAGCTTCATATGTTCTTTTTATACAGTTAGGTTAATTCTTACATCTGGGTTAATAAACACACATAATTATAATTTAATTTCAATATTCTGGTTATATGTTATGCAAACACAAGATTAATTAATTTATTTACATGATTACTACTGAATAAAGTACTTAATTTGTACCGTTCACTTTAAAAATCACTTCCACACTTGGCGAGCAGAAAGTTTAATAATCCTACTGCGACTTTCGAAGCCTGATTTTCTCCACTACTTATTTTGTTACAGTGTTTTACGATAAAACAGAGGACACTACAGGAAGAAACCTACATCAGTAAAGGGTTGGTCACACAAAGGCAGGATTCAAATCCCCAACCCTGAAGGTGCGAGGTCACCATGCCACCCACTTCTCAATAATTCTCATAAAAATAAACTAGTTTCACGCCCACTGCCTAAATTCTCAGGTAGGATGACCATTTAAATGCGTGAAGTAATGCCTGAATACGAACAATCTACAAAATGCAATCAACGGACAACCCTAATTATTACTGCACTGAATAGTTACACTGGTGTACTGTGATTTATTCCAGTAGAGACAATCACTTTTAAATGACGAAAGTCAACTACCGACTTCATAGAATATGTAATAGACATTATTCATATAGGCCTGTGATACAATGTAAGTAGTGCCATTTATATTGAGCAGTAATCATGTTACTCTTGTGGTACTCTTAAGCATATGTTTTCAGCTTGAAAAGAAAACCTGGGAACTGACAAGAGATAATAGTGCTACACTTCAAGTGTGAGACAACAGCATACGACAGACCTCCTCATTGGCTGCTATGTGGTCATTCTCAATCTCATAAGTAGCATTAGAAAGAAACTGGGAAATACAGTGAGTTTGTAGTCAAAATACCTGGAAAGGACTTCAGAGAGAATGCCTTTGGATTAAATCATCAGGCTTATTTCCATGTTATACGTTATGATATAACATCATATTTAATACATCAAAACATTTAAACAAATTTTAATCTGTCATGCTTATTGGGATAGCAACATACAACAACAGTGAGAAACAGTTAATTTCTGTATTTTTAGAAATGATAATCCAATATGCTAATACTGAACAGTCTCTGTTAACTGTTTAAACAGCTTGGATACATAGCTTGGTGTTCGGTCTTGTTGTTCGTAGAGATTTTGGCATACATTTTAATTAAAGTCTCATTTACTTCTGAAAAACAAGGTAACGTGACATAATCTCTCAGTAAATACTGTAATAAGCTGGGAAAGAGAGAGACCAGCACTCCGTGTAACACTGGGTCTTCTCAGGTCCTGCGTTTCCATAGTTGGGGATAAAACAGATGCCACTGGACTTCAGTCCACAATGTTTCCTTTTAACATCATTTTTTTCAGTTTATTATTTATTTTTTACTTCATTATAATATTGTAGTTTGTAGCATATTGTAGCACCACATTTGTTATATGTAAATATTTCACTATATAATACATACTGTATGGTGCTGTATAGTAAATCTTCATATCTGCCTTATTATTTGATAAATCCGTCTATTTTGTCTAACCCCTCATCTTCTCTAATCAATGATACTCCAAAGCACAGGGTATATGTTCTCAGTAGGTCCATTGCAAGGCAAACTGCAAACTATTTTAGGAAATTTAATTTACCGGAGCAGAAGGTATATTGATTGCAGAAGGAAAACATGATATAAACCCACATAAAGAGAGGAAGAACAAAAAAAGTATTAAATCTCAGTTAGAGTCTGGATCGGCAGTATATATTAGGTTAGGGTTCGCCACTGCTGTAGCGTAACACAGTTAAGGAGATTGCTAAAAACATGGTAATGTATATGGATACCTTTTCTCTATCCATCCATCCATCCATTTTCTGAAACTACCTATCCCGTTCAGGGTCGCGGGGGGTCCGGAGGCTACAGGCGCAAGGCAGGGAACAACCCAGGATGGGGCGCCAACCAATCGCAGGATCCCTTATTTAATAAATATATCGCGCCATATATTTATATCACCGGTGTATATTTATTACAGTATGTTATAAAATTGTTAAGGACAGGGGGTCTGAAAAGCTCTCCTGATATTTGCTAGATTATAACTAGGTAATAGTTTGATTGATGCCAGAGACTGTCCAGTTAGGTGAAACCATACATTGTCAGTTTTTTTCTATAATATATAAATAAATATATAAAAATAAAGTCAATACCCATGTTTCTAGCAGCACTTATATAAAGTAATACATCTTGAACTGCTAGGATGATAAGTTTAAATTGACTCTTTCCAAATGAATTTATAGTCAAGTCAGATACACCGCACGTCAGCTGTTTGCTGTGGTTAGATATACTGTATATGCCTTCATCCAACGCTACATTCACATCAGATTCAAGATTAGACCACAGGGAGATTGGAAACAGCATTTCTTAAATCCAACATATTTTCATCCTCACAACATACAGTATACTGTACATGATGGGGGGGAAGGAGGAGGCATAAACACATAAATAAAAGGAGGCCATAAGCCGAGGGACTTTTGAAGCTTTTGCAGCATCTTCCCAGCGCAACACAATGGCTTTTACTATGTTTGCATTTACTATGTTCAAGGATGATGTCAGTTACAGTCTAATCTTGTTTTAATACACTTTGCTTATAATTCAGACACAGGACGCTAGTGAAGGCTTGCTCCTTATACTGAACCGAAGCTACTTCAAGGGAACGAAACCACATTATGTTCTGAAGAATATCATGGCTACTCATCTGGTAACAAGGTTACTAAACAAAATAAAGTAGTACATCAGCTACAATCTAAATAGCGCATGTATCTAGAAAACCCACTCTCTGAGCCTTGTGCATATACAACCATGTCAGAGTGTGATTGCATTTATAAGCAAAGCAGGATAGTATAGCTGTGTTGGTATCCCTGAAGCAGATCTGCATACTTTCATATAAGCAGCAACTCATTTTGTTTCTGTTGTTTTAACTTGAAATTTTGTAATCTGATCATTTCGCACAGCCTAATCCATTACTATAGTTCACTGGTTATTTCACACCAATGCAATAAAAATTTGGGCTTAATTTTCATGCTATTATAAATATATAGGATACACATATTGCACTAGATAGACTTACAGTATTACTTTACCCACCCCATAATGAATGCATTATCTCAAAAAC